CAGTTTTCGCTGCTGCTGCTGCTCCTCCTCCTCCTCCTTTTCATATTGCTCCTCCTTGTCCTTATCCTTCTCCTCCTCCTCCTCCTCCTCCTCCTCTTTCTCCCCCTCCCCTTGCCCTAGACTTGTTTTGTTGTGCCTCGGCATGGCGAATGTGCAGGCGCATTCAATTGCCGTGGAACTCCTCCCCTTTCCCATCTCTCTCCGTTTCTAAATCATTCCCTCATCCTCCTCTTTCACCTCCTCCTCCTCCAACTCCTCCTCCACCTCATTCACTTCCTCCTCCAACGTTGTCGTTGTGTCGTCTTCCTCCTCCTTCTCCTCCTTACCTTTCTTCCCCTTCTCCTCCTCACCCTCTCGTTCTCCTCTTCCTCCCCCTCCTCCTCCTCCTCCTCCTCCTCTTCCTCCTCTTCCTCCGCTTCCACCTCCTCCTCCTCCTCCTCCTCCTCCAACTCCTCCTCCTCCTCCTCCTCCTGCTCCTCCTCCTCCAACTCCTCCTCCTACTTCTCCTCCTCCTCCTCCTACTCCGTCCCCTCCTCTTCCTCCTCTTCCTCCTTCTCCTTCCCCTCCACCTCCTCCTCCTCCTCCTCCTCCTCCTCTTCCTCCTCCTCCTCTTCCTCCTCCTCCTCTTCCTCCTCCTTCTCCCCTTGTTATCTGAGCGCCAAGGAACCGATTTCCTCGCTCAAGCGGTAGCTCCGTTCGTCTACGGAGAAAGCCATGTTCTGGAAGGCTCCCTCGAGGCCCATCTTGGTCTCCACCGTCTCCACGACGCAGCTCTCCCACGACTCGGCGGGTGATGATGATGATGATGATGATGATGATGATGATGATGATGATGATGAGGAGGAGGAGGAGGAGGAGGAGGGGCAGAGGGAAAGGAAGAGGGGCAGAGGGAAAGGAGGCGAGGGATGAGGGAGGACGAGGATGAAGAGGGTGATGGACGAGTGAGAAGAATGACAAGGAGAATGAGGCGATGAGGATGGAGGGGGGAGGGGCATGAGAAGGAGCGGGGAGAGAAAGGATGGGGAGAAGGATGAAGAGGAGTAGGGAGAGTCGGAGGTGGAGGTGAGAGATGACGAAGACGAGTGAGGATGAGGAGGGGGACGAGGAGGAGGAGAGGAATAAGGACAAGGAGGCGGAGGACGACGACAACGACAACGTTGGAGGAGGAACGGAGTGAGGAGGAGGAGGAGGAGGAGGAGGAGGAGGAGGAATAGGAACAATAATAGGAATAGGACGATGCGATGCGATGCAACGACCGTTGCAAGCAGTGTCCCGGCCTAGCTCAGACCAGGTGGGTGAGGCCGTGGCCTCGAGAATCTGGCATGTCTGGATACAGGCAAAGCGAGACACGTAAACAGTTAGGAGGAGAGGGGGAGCAATAATAATCATACTAATAATAAAACGAAATCCTTGGTGCCAATGTCGGCGCGGGCTGGGCGTGCAGTCTCGACTTTCTCTGGGCGTTCACTTTTTGGGTCTTGGTCCCTGGTGCTTGCTGGTGTGAGGTCGGCGTCATGGTGCTCGAGCGCCATCCATGTTTCGGTGTCTTGGGCTGCTTGCGTTCATGTGATGCTGTTTGGTTGTCCTCTCGATTGGGTATGTGTGATGGTCGGTGGACGCTTTGGTCTGCGTTGGCGTAGTAGGAGGAGGATCAGGAGGAGGGAGGATCAGGATGAGGGGAAGGCGGCGGATGAGCAAGAAAAGAGGGTGGACTGATGATGAGGCCGGGAGAAAGAAGATAGTGAGGATGGGCAAGGCATCCGAGACGATGAGTGCGCTGAACAATTCTGCCGCACGCACGTAACACTCTCGAATGGAGCAGGTTTCGGACGAACAAATACGCATGTATTTATGTACATTTGTATTTGTACATATATATAAACATGCATGCATATACACGTTATTACGCATACGTATGCTAGGATGTTACCGGCGGGGTCACATGTGGCCTGGAGTTTCATCTAATATAGTCGCACACCTTGCGTAGTCTAAGTAACGTATTGTCGCCAATCATTTCGGTGTTCGCAGCCGCTGGCTTGCCAGTTGTTGGGGTCCTTGCAGAGGGGCCATTGTGTATCATTAAGACCCACCGCCCTTCGGCAACGACAGGAAATCCAAAACTTGGTTTGCCCCTGTTGGGCTCACTCGTGCTCGGCCTTAGGCGACTTTCCTGCAACCATTCAGTGACTCACCTTCCACGGTGTCTCGCACATCGCCAGGTCTTACCAATCGCCGCAAGCTATTACCTTCCATGCCATGACGTCTCGCCTTGGTATCCCCAGCCTTGTTCGGCAATGCCAGGACGTGCACCGCCGAGCACCAACCGACCCAAACAAGGACAACAAAGCAAGGCCAGGGCGAAGACAAGCGGACAAGCGCTGGCAATACGACCAAAGCTCTCGCCCGACCCGTGCTGCACAACACTCGTGAGGCAGCGGCCTGGCCAGCGTGAGCTATGCGAGGTGCACAGCGGATGCGACGTCGAGCTTGGTTCATGCCATGGTGGAGGCAGGGCAAGCCTTCGAGGCGGAGAGCAATGATGGGAGGGCCGCCGTCGAGAACGGCCAGCATGTCGACGAACACAACGAGGGGCGGACCACACCTACACTGCTTCGTGGCGGCATGCAGCTACAACGCGACGAAGGACGTCCCGATGGAGTGAGGAACCACCACCAACGTAATAAGTACACTGATCCGATGGGGCAGACCAGGGAGTTCGGAGCTGGATGGCATCAGTTTGGAAGCCGTCTCGGAGCTGGTACTGTAGCCCAAGAGGAGGGCATTCCTAATCGATATATCGACCCAAATGCCGCCAGATGAACGCCGTGATGCCTTGCATCACGCAGGCGATCGAGTACGATGAACGCAAGCGGCTCGTCGGCGCGGCGCCGAAGGAGCCCTTGGAGAGAGACATCTCGCGATTGCTCGACGGCGGCAGGTCGACGGCCGTCTGGGCAGTGGGCGGCCGACGATGCCGATTGCGCGCGGTCGTGCTGTCTCGTGTGTGATTGCCGTGGTGCTGCCTTCGCGCACGCGTCACAGGAGCCAGGACTCTCAGGGGAAGGGACACTGGTGGAGTGGGGCGGCGGGCGGCGGTGGGGGGGGACGGGACAGACGTAGCTTCACGTGGCGAGCCCTGTGCCGCGGACGCTGGTCCCTTTCGAGTGACTATGTGCCACGGTGGGCGGGAGCCAAGCCAATGCGAGTCTTTTTGGAGGTGTGCAGCTGGCCATCCGTACCTATCTTGCGTCGGCTTCATGGTGAGCCTCCCCTGCATGCCAACCACTTTGTAATGACGAATCCGAACTCAGATTCGCGCGTACGCCTTTGTCGTGGTGGTCTCCATGAGTCCTGAGTCCTGAGTCCCCCGGATGGGCAGAGATGACAGATGGCGGACGAGAATGGGGAAGACGAGGGGTGGGCAATAAGGGATGAGGAGGGAGGGGAAGGGCGAAGGAGGGAGGAGGTGAAGGACGATAACGAGGACCAAGAGGATGAGGAGGAGGAGGAAAAAGAACAATATCAAGAAGAGGGAGAGGAGGACACGCCCCGCCTGGTCGACGGTCATTCTCCCCGTGAGGGGCCTGTCCTGCACCTCGAAGTTTTTCTCGCCCCTCTCGACCTCGAACTTGCGCACGAGCACGTGGTCCACGCTGAATATCTCCGCGCACAGCCACACCTTCACGATGTTGATGCGGCGCTCCAACTCGAAGTCTTCGCGCACCGACAGCGTCGCGTACTTCCCGCGGTGGACCTCCTCCCACAGATCGTTCAAAGCGTCGGAGTGGTAGTCGTCCGCCTGTCGCCAGGTCATAGAGGTGCGCTCTGGGCAAGTCAAAAGCGCTTCCCACTCCCCACCTCCCAGGGTGTGCCCCTCCATCCCTTCTCTGGCCTTTTTATCCCTGCCTCCTCCTAACCATCATCACCATCATCAGCATTACCACCATCACAATCACCGTCACCATCGTCACCATCAACATCGTCATCACCGTCGCCATCACCAGCATCGTTACTATCACAATGATCACCATCACCACCACAACCATCACCCTCACCAACAACACCGTCACCTCCACTCACACCACCGTCATCGCCATCAGCTTCTGACCTACTCCTCTCCCTCCCGCTCAAGCCACTCCCGAATGCCCTTCAGGACCCCACGGCGCCCAGGACGGCCAGATGGGGACCCGCCTGGGGTGGCAAGTGGCCCGAACTGGCGCGCAGGCGGCCCGAGTTCGGCCCTGGGGCTGCCACCTGAGGGCCCCTGAGCTAAGAGGCCACGGGGGCCTGGGGAGGAGGAGGAGGAGGAGGAGGAGGAGGAGGAGGAGGAGGAGGGAGGAGGAGGAGGAGGAGGAGGAGGAGGAGGGAGGAGGAAGGAGGAAGGAGGAAGGAGGAAGGAGGAGGAGGAGGAGGAGGAGGAGGAGGAGGAGGAGGAGGAGGAGCCCACGCCCCTTTTCTGGAGCCCTCACGGGCGGGCCCGGCCCTCCATGCTCGGCCAACACGGACTCAGGGCAGCTTGTTCCGCTGGAGACCCTGAGCCCGCAAGGCCCCAGACATCGCGGGCCCAACGGGCCAACAGCGTGCGAGAATTTCGCGAAAGAGGGTCAGACCAATGTATTCGCTAATTCTCTCGCGCGCGGGGCGGCCTTTTGGGCCCACCCCGAGGAAAAGTACCCCGGGCAGCTGGCAGAAGCAGGGTCGGACGAGAGTTTTTTTTGTTTTTGTTTTTTTTCCATCTGGTCGGTCGAAATAACAAATTCGCCGGCCCAACGGGCCAGGGCGTGCTAAGATCTCCGGTAACTGGTTAACAGTATTAACAGTATTTCTAGTTCGCGCGCGCGGGGCGGCCCCTGGGGGTCCCTCGGCGAAAAGTACCCCGACCAACGCCCGGTCGCCGCCCGGTCGCCGCCCGACCGCCGCCCGACCGCCGCCCGACCAAGTCTACTCAGAGATGGTTTTCCTTCTGGGTGCGGCCTCTCAGGCTCCCCAGAGCGCGCTCAGAGTGCCCCAAGAGGCCCCCAAGACTGCCCAAGAGGCCCCCGAGACGCCCAAAGAGCGCTCGAAGACGCCGAAGATGACCCCAAGACGGCCCAAAAGGCCCCCAAGACAGCCCAAGAGGCCTCCAAGACGCCCCAAGAGCCTTCCAAGAGGCCTCCGAAGAGAGCCCCAAGAGGCCAAAATCGTTGATTTTCATTGGTTTTTTCGATGTTTTTTGTGTTCTGGTTTTTTCGGCTTCCGGACGCTCCAAGACGGCCCAAGAGGCCCCCAAGACCGCTCCAAGACGGCCCACGAAGCTCCCAAGACGGCGCCGAAACGACCCAAGAGAGCCCTCAAGACGGCCCAAGTGCCGCCCAAGACGGACCAAGAGGCCCCAAGACGGGCCCAAGAGGGACTCAGGAGGGATACCGAGAACTCAAAAATGGAGCCCTCCGTCCCAGAAGGCGCCCAGGAGGTCCCAAAGAGGCCCCAAGAGGCCTCCAAGAGGCCCCAAGATGTCGCCAAGAGGCCCCAGGAGACTCCCAGGAGGCCCAAAAGAAGCCCCAGAAGGCTTCAAACATGTCTCCCAGGCGCCCCCGAACGGCCTCTCAACAGACCCCAAGAGGCCCCCCAAAGAAGCATCTTGACGACGACTCTATTTCGCCCCATCGAGAGACGACCCCCAGGGAACTGCTTCACCATCAAAACTCCCCACGCAACGCGTCCGAACGACACCCGCCCCCAAGAGCGCAACATGGGCAACGAACACACAGACAAAAACCAGCGATGCCATATCACGGGCCGGCGGAATGAGCGAAGCGATTCAATAACCCCAAGATCGCCTCACGAGAGCTCCAAGGTGGCCCAAGAGCGGGGATCAATGCGGGCAGGGTGGCGGGCCCCCGCGGGGTCCTGGAATAGCTCCAGGAGGCCCCAAGACAGTCCCAATGTGGCCCAGGATCGTCCAAGACCCCAAGAGGCCTAAATTCTTCGAACGCCTGCAGTGTTTCAACGATTTTGGCCGTCTCGCCTTTTCGCTTCCAAGGCGCTTCTGAGGTCTCCAGATGGCTCCAAGATCGCCCAAGATGGATCCAAGTGGAGCCAGATGGGCGCCAAGAGCCAAGAGGGCTCCGCCCGATAGCGCCCCCAGGAGCGCACCAAGAGGGGCTCCAAGAGAGCCCCAAGAGGTTCCAAGATAGCCCCAAGGTGGGCGCAATCCTTAAGATTTCCCACTTCTTCAAATATGCCCCCCAAAGTCGCCCAAGGTTGCCCCAAGAGTAGCCCAAACGCGCTCCAAGAGGGCTCCAAGACCCCCACCCAAGAGCGCCTCCGGAAGGCCCCAGTGGCGTGAGGATCAAATGGTCACAAGCCCCAAGGCGGTACCGAAATAACCCCAACAGGAACCGGGACAGCCCCTAGGTGGCCAAAGATTGTCCAGGGCAGCCCCTCGCCCGGAGACTCCCTGGAGTCCACTGAGATGCTCCGACAGCGCACGAAGATGATCATCGAGACATGATACAGTTGTCTCCACATTTTCCGTGACGGCTGCTCTCGTCCATTCGGACTCCGGTGGTGAAGCTTTGGTGCGGACGTGTTCTGCTCAGTGTTGTACTCCACTTACCTAGCAACCCACCACCTTCTCAGTCCCCGCGAGCGCGCAAGCAAATGCCAGAGGTGATACAATATAGGCTGACGGAATGAGCGAAACGGCTGACTTGCACCAATCGACAAACCAGCAAAGATGCTGGTGGCTGCTCCCAGAACTTCATCCACTTCCGGGGCCCTCCATCCCGATGAGGATGCTACCGTCCAAGAGTCCTTCTCTTCCTCCCCGTCGTCCTGCCTCTCTCATGCCTCCTTCACTCCTCCCTCCTTCCCTCCATCCTCCTCACCTTTTCTCCTTCCCTCCTTCCCTCCATCCTCCTCCCCAACCCTCCACCGAACAGGGGGAGGATACGTAGCCATACTATGAATATGACGATGACGATGATGAAGATGCGGGTACGGACGATGAAAATGACTAGCCTAGATAAGGAACGGGAGGGATGGATGATGATGATGATGATGATGATGATGATGGTGATGATGATGATGATGATGATGATGGTGATTGTGATGATGGTGAGATGATGGTGATGAGAATTATGATGATGGTGGTGGTGATGATGAAGATGACGATGGCAATGATGATGACCATGATGATGATGATGCTGATGATGCTGATGATGATGATAGTGATTATGACGATAACGATGACGATAGCGACGACGATTGTGATGATGCGTAGCATGGTGCAGAGAAAGACAAAGAGGAGGAAAAGGAGAAGGAAGATAAGGGTGAGGACAAGGAGAGGGCTTAATCCGCCGACCCTGTCGGCGTGTGGAAGAGGCTTCTCCGTCTGCTCCCTCTTCGTCGTCGTCGATGTTCCTTCTTCTTTCCCCACAGCGTCGTTGCTTCTATCCCTCTCCCAAGGCCTCGTTCTGAGGCGCGCCAGTCCAAGGCGAGATTGAAGAGCGTCGTACTTGAGTCGAAGGGAAGCCCCTTCCCTTTGATCCCTTCCCGGGGAAGGGGGGGGGGGGTCCCGGGGTAGCTCCCGGGAGGGTGGGGTCCCGGGTTTATACCCCGCCCTCCAGGGGAATCCCCAAGCCCAAAAAAGCCCCAAGACCGGCCAAGAGTGCTCCAAGAGGCCCCCAAGATGATCCAAGAGGGCGCCAAATCGCCGAATGATCTGTCCAAGACGCCTTGACGGCCTTCAGACGGCCCAAAAGGCCTGCGAGACGCCCCCAAAGGCCTCCAGGACCCTTCCCACGAGAGCCCCAAGAGGCACAAATCATGGATTTCCCATGCGTTTTTCAAGGATTTTGGCGTTCTCGCCTCTTCCGCTTCCCCACGCGCCAAGACGGCCCAAGAGGCTCCCGAGATCGCCCCGACACGGCCCAAGAGGCCTCCAAGAGGGTCCCCAAACGGCCCACAAGTGCCCCAAGACGGCCCAAGACGCCTCCCAGATTCACAAAAGGCCCCCAAAACAGTTCCAAGAGAGCGCCCAGACGGAGGACCCGAACAGACATTTCGAGCCCTCAGCCCCGAGAAGCTCCCAAGAGGCCCTCCAGGAAGCCCACAGAGGCCCGAAGAGGCTCCCGAGAGGCCCCAAAAACTCTCCTAGGAAGCTACAAAACAAACTAGGAAGTTACAAAACAACCGGGTATTCCCTCCTCTTCGACCTTGTCCTCCTCCTCCGCCTGTTCCTCCTCCTCCCCATCACAGAACGGAGGAGGTCTCCCCAATAACAGAACGCTGTCTCCAGGGTCGGCGGCATCGGCCGTAAGGCCTTCGCAATATGACGAGAAATAAAATGACACTCACGGTGGCGAGGGAGGAGAGAGGTGGAACGGAAAGATGATGATGACGATGAAGACGAGGATGATGACGACGATGCTGATGTTGATGATGATGGTGATGATGATGGTGGTGGTGATGATGATGATGATGATGATAATGATGATGATGATGATGAGCGGCCACCGCGCGCCTTGATCCCGTGCCTCGTCAGAAGGTGCGTGAGCCCGTCGTGCCAGAGGTCCGCTTGCGTGAGCCCGACGGTGTGCCACGCCCAGTTCGACTCCTGCGGGAAGGAGGGGGGGGTGAGGGAAGGGACAGTATTCTCGTCCTTGCCATCGTGCAGGTCTCCGTCGTGCTTTTTTTCCTCGTGCTCGTCCTCGTCGACCTTCTCCTTTCTCCTCCCCATCCCGCGCCTTGTGAGGGACGAAGAAGTGGGGCCGGGAAGGGAACATATTCTCGCCCTCGCCATCGTGCGGGTCTCCATCGTGCTCTTTTTCCTGTTCGTCCTCGTCGACCTTCTCATCTCTTCGCCTCCATCCCGCGCCTCGTGAGGGACTCAGGAATGGGGCCGGAGCGAGGGAGGGGGTGAAGGGGGCCGAATACAGAGGGGACGATGACCCAAAGACGGCTACTTATCTCTGAGCAACCTGTGTACATGCGCTTCTGTAGATCTATACATATGATGCGGACGTCCAGCAATCGCACACCGTAAATCTTCGATATTCCCACCCGTCACTAAAACGCAACCAATAAGCAACGTGCCAATCGCGTATAACCAGCCTGATTAAGTTCTACACACGTATGCATCTATACATACATATGTCGATACACACATCTATATGTATGTATGTATGTATGTATGTATGTATGTATGTATGTATGTATGTATGTATGTATATATATAGTATTGCTTATATGTCTGTGTAGATATGTTCATATATATATATATATATAACTACTTGGAGTCATCAACGCCTTGATTTATGCGTCTGTATACGTAAATCTGAAACATTGAAGTACACAGCGCCCAATGCAACAATAATATATTATCCTCCCGCTTGCTCTCCATCCTGTTTCCTCCCAAACCTCATTGTTTTTGCCGCTTCTCCTCGCTATCCAAACATTTCGTTCCCTGTCCGTGGCCGCCACGCCTGACCGCCCCATTCCGCCTGTCCAGCACCATCGCGCAACATGTTCACCGTGGACGCCTAAGGGTTCTTCAGGGAACCACAGGGTGGCTGGAGGATCCTGACGGCACCTCAGGAATCTGGGACATTACGGGGTCAGTTTCAACGCCCCCCCAAACAAAAACATGGCTTCATACATACGGTCTCTGAACGAGTGTGCAAGAAGTGTGTGTGTGTGGAGGAAATGCAACGCTTCATTGTAAACATGGTGATGAACCCGCAGGTGGCCCGCATGATTCCGCAGGAGATCCGCACATTTAGCAGCAAATATTTGGGATGCTCGCGGGGGGCCAGCGATTTCCTGATGGGATCTCCACGGTTCCGCTGGAAATCCAGCATCCTGAGGAAACAACTAGAATTCGCAAGGGCATGCGGATGACTATTTTGCCACTCTGTGGGGGATATTACGTGTTCGTTTTATTTCTGGCAAACTATTGTGGGAACCTCGTGGCTCTTTCAGAAAGCGCGCGGGGCCCCCGACAACCCAAACTACATATTCCGAACGAAAGCTAGACGTTCGTTGCGAAATCATATCGCCACCTGGGAGGCCTCATGGTTAACGCGGGAAGTGATTTCTGACAATTTCACTTGCGCGAGCGCGCGGTGCGTTGCGATGTTTTTTCGCGCGACGCCGACGTGGGCGTCGCGTGCGCGGGCGCCTTTCAGTCTGGATCGGTCTAGATTACTCCTTCTCATCTCGGCTTGGAGCACCTATCGAATTTCTAGTTTGGAAAACATTTGCGCGTGCGAGCGCGCGGAAAAGGGGCAATCGCGGCTGTCCTCCCGTTCTCCCGTCACCCGCCCCCTGCGCGACCGCATGCCCCACGATCGTGCGCAGGGCCCCTCCTGCGGGGCCGAGTAGGCGGAGCGCCGACCCCGCCCTGCGAATCCAGAACGGAAAACAAAAGCTACGCGGCGCATTTGCCGAGCGGTGGGCCCTGCTTCGGCGAGGTCCAACAGGTGCGAGGTCGGGTCAGCGGCGCGCAGGCCCGACGATCAACTCGGGGAACAAAACGGTCGCGCGGAGCGCGGGGCCTAGAGGGGCACGGCCCCGAGCGGCGGGACGCCGAGTGAAGGCGCGGGGGGGGGGAGGGCGTGCGAGCAGAAGTGGAGGACATCTCAAACGCGTCTCCTCTGGGTGCCGCCTGGCAGGCGGAGCGCACCTTCGACCGCTGCTGCGCGCGAAGTCGGCCCGCGGGCGAGCGCGCGCCAATGCCGCGGCCGCCCGCGCCCGGCTCCTGTCTGGCTGGAAGCTGGGCGGCGCCCTGCGGCGAGGCGCAAGGCGCAGTCTTTGGCCCGGCGCGCGTCAATGCCGGGCCGGGCCGCAGCCCGACTCCCCTGCGGCTGGAAGCCGGGCGGCGCCCTGCGGCGAGACGCCAGGCGCAATGGCCGAGCGCGGCGCGCGCCGGACCTGGGGCCCGAGCGCCGCGGACTTAGACGGCCCCTGTAGGCCCCGCAAGAGGCCTCCCAAACAGCCCGAGACCCCTCCAAGACGTCCTCCAGGAAGGCCCGACAAGGTGAAAATCTTTGACTTGCTCTTCAGCTCTTTTCCGTCAAACCATCCGAGAAGCTACTCGCGCCTTGAGGTCGGCTATTGTCTGAGCTGCGCGCGCGTTCCCCATCTTCGGCCGCCTGGCGATAGTCGAAGCCAGCGCGCCAGAGGACTCCAACCTAGGTCAGGTCTGCGACCAGAGGAGCCTGGCCTTCAAGCGGCTCGGCTACCATAGCGACTGCGACTTCAGCAAGCCGCAGGACGACCACAAGGCGAAGTGCACGCTTGATGAAGAACGACCCGAGATACTTGTCAGTTCACCACCCTGTGGACCTCAGTCGACCATGCAGAACGCCGACCAGCGCAACGAGCAGCAGAGGGAGATCTCCCGCAAGAAGCATCTCAAGAGCCAACGGATCTTCGAGAACAGCGAGCATCTCATCGAGCTTCATGTGAAGAACCTTCATGCGTCTGCTCTAGCCGCGCAGCCTCACGGCAGATCCTGTCAGAAGATGTGCTGGGAGGGTCTCCACAAGGTTCCCCCCTTACGAAATGATCGTGGACGGCTGCGCCTGCGGCCTACGTGCTCCCGACACCGGCGAACTCATGAAGAAGCGCTGGAAGCTCTTCACCGACGAAAAGCGGACCTGGGTCGCCCTGCAGCCTCTTCAGTGTCGCGGAGGTTACCTTCGCGAGGAGATCGAGGGCACCCACATAACGGGATCCTCAGGGGAATATCCTAAGATGCTATGCAGACAACCCTGAGGGTGCTTACCCGTGACGCTAACCTGAGGCCACTTCGATGAGGAGATCGTGAACTGCCGCTGCCTGGCAGCCACTCAGCAGCCCCATCGTGGGACCGAGTCCCAAGTCGGCCGAGGAGCTACTGCCACATGTGCGCGGGAAGGATTCGCCCAATATCAAGAAGGACGCGATCCAGAAGCTAGAGGGCTATGCGCGGCTGGAACGCACCAACCTCGGAGACCTACCACCAACTCATCTACTACAGTACCTTCGAGATCGAGGACCCCGACCCGAAGTGCCACGGGTCGCTCGCAACTTCAAGTGAAACATCTGCGACGCTCGCCGATTTCCTGCGAACTACCGCGGGACAGCCACGAATTGCTCTTCGACGCCTTCTCCTGTATCCGCCGCAGTAAGAACGCGAACGCCATGGCGCTCGCTGTGCTGGGCGCGGGTTCCGACATCCTATGCGCGCGGCTGATCGACGAGAAAGAACCCCCAGCCAGACTCGCTAAGCTCGAGCGGGTGGACTTCGCCGCGTTTTAGCCACCAAATGGTCCCCGTGGATGGGGCGCCCGAAGGTCGTGCGCTACGATCCCGCCGGGAGTGCCATCTCCAACGAGTTTAGGGTTTAGGGGGTGGGTCGAAAGCCAGGGCATCTACTCCCCGCCATGCGCAGCCTACGCGCGCCGGCAGATTGACAGGATCGAGCGCGCCATCGAAGCTTTCAAGGAGGCCCTCGACGCCTTCGACGAGATGATCTCCCAGGACGTGCCTACCTCCGAGACGTTCGGCCTACAGAATGCAGCTCGCGACGACCTCGTCCGGGTCGACGGCTTCGGCCCCTTGCAGCGCAGCACCGGGCGGGCGACTACTGGGGCCTCAATCAACCTCTACGACGAGCCGAACAACCTGCCCCTCATTGGCGCCAAGTTGATGGAAAGCGCGTTCGCCCGAGATGCTCGAATTCGACGACTCCCAAGGCTGGCGAATATTCGGGCGGAGAACTCCGACGGAGCCGAGGGAGCCAAGGCCACGAAGTTCAGGTCTTTCAAGAAGTGCGAGTGCGGCGACTTGGTCCTCGTCAACTGCAGACGCCCCCCAGGAGCTTGGAGGAGGAAGGGCCGACCTCGCTCTATGCCGGGGCGAGGCCTCTGGCGCGGACCTGGGCGAGTGCTGTGCCACGAGCCCGCGAGCTTAGGGCGCCGACCTGGACTTCCCGGAATCGCGGTGAACATCGCGCTAGCTGGGCGGCCGCATCGAGTTGCATCTGAACGTCTCCGGCCAGCTGCCCCGTCCGAGGAGGCGATGGGAGCTCTGCGCTCGGGGGGCGAGCGGCCGGGCTCCTGGGCGTTCGGAGAAGTACAGGGGCAGCTCGACACCTACGAGGTCATCGACTTGACCCACGAGTCGCCCCCCGCTAGCGATGACCTCGCCCGCGACGACGGCGAGACCGCGAGTGCCCGCGCCCCCCAGCGCGGCCCGAGTGGGCCCTGGGCAGTCGACGAACGAGAAGGTCAACCAGTACCTTCCGAAGGAGCACCCTGGAGCTATAGCCCAGGCGTTGCAAGCAACTCATCGGCGTCATCGTCCAGACCAGCGCCTGCGCCACCTGCGCGGCTACGACGCGTGCGCAGGAACCGCGACCCCCGGGCGCTGGAGGCTCCGCCTGAGGGGCGGCTCGTTCAAGATGCACCGCCCGAAGCTCCACCTGGACTTGAGCAGCCCGCTGAAATTCAACGACCAGCTGAAGAGGAAGCGCCCGCCGAGATGGAGGAGCTGGGCGATATCCAGGACTTGGGGGGCCACGCCTCTCAGGGGCCCTTCCCAGATGGATCTGAAGCTGGGGAGCTAGCAGTTGATTGCGAAGTCGAACCTAGACAGAGACAGAAGCGCTCCGCGGAAGGATCAACGCTGCGCTCCGGGCGGATTTCGCCTTCTACTTCCAAGAGGGCAACTTCTGCAGCGACTGCGTCTACAGCGTTGCGCAGTGCAACGAGTGCAAGGAGGAGGGCGAGATCATTCTGCTCCAGATTCCTGTCCACAACGAGCACGCCTTCATAAGCTACTTCGAGGGGCCCAGCAACTTCGTTGCCACTCAAGCCCGCAAGGGCAGAGTCGAGGTTTCCTTCGAGAAAGCGACGCCTGAAAAAGAAGAAGATGATACTCGAGGCCCGGCAGAAAGAGCGCGCCTCCGCTCGCAGCGCCAAGGCCATCGGCCATAAGGGCATCGACCCAGCTCGACTTCTACGATGCCGCTTCGTTCATACCTGGAAGACGGACGACCGGGGTGGAGTTCTTCGAAGCAAAACCGGATAGGTCGCACTTGGTTTTAGCGATCCTGATCCGCTGCGTCTGCGAACGGAGTCGCCCGTGGAATCGCGACGAGCGCGGGCGCGAGTGGGGGCGCGAGAAGGCCGACGCCGCCACCGCGTTTCTTCGAGGCCAGACCGGCGAATCTAAAGGCGCAGTGTCTTCGTCGACCCGCCCGGGGACGTGCGCCGAGCCCTCTGCGCGAAGGAAGACGACGCGCTGCAGCTCCTGAAGTCCATGAAGTCTAAGGTAGTGGCTTCACTTCAAGGGGACGCTCACCAAACTCAACCTCGGGGCCATGCATTGCGAGCCGTGCGTTTGGGTCATCGAGAACGGCGGCGAGCCAGTCGGCATGGTCATGCTGCGCGTGGGCGATATGATGATCGCCGGCGGCTACGCCAACGCGTTCTTGCTGGAGAAGCGCAAGGCGATTCCAGGAGCTTTCGAGTGGACACCCTGGGAGAGCAAAGCTTTCGTTCAATGTGGAGTGAGTATCCACCAGAACGACGATTTCACTTGCAACCTACAGCATGAACATGGGGCCGATTCCGATCACGGGGGGGGAGGGGGGCAGCCTACTCAAGGAGCTACCGATCGTGAGCGCTCTGATCGACGCGGGCGGCTTGGCGCAGTCGGCCGGCGAGCTCAACATTCAGCTCCTTGGCTCAGCGCCGAAGTTTAACTGCTGCGTGCCGAGATTCCCACCGCAACGGTTTCCACGACTCAGAAGATCAATCAGCTCCCACACCGCGAACGACACCGCCGAGAAGGTCATGGTCATTCCCGCCATCGAGCAGCTAACAGTGGTCGGCTGGGGCGACGCAGCTTGGGCAGCCCAGGTCACCAGGGAGTCGCAAGGCGGCGAGATGATCGCGCTGGCGCCGCTTTCCTTCCTGGACGGCACTACTGAGACGGTGGCGCCCATTCCTTGGAGATCGTGCAAGCTGCCGGGAGTGGCGAGAAGCAATGCCGGCGCCGAGGTGCACATGATGACGGTAACCCTGGACGAGATCAGCTGCGCGCGCCCGCTGATTTACCAGCTGGAGTGAGGCCCAGCCGACTACGCCAACCAGCAGCACGTGAACGACGCCATCTCCACCTGCCCTGGTCACCGACGGGAAGTCTGGGCACGACGCGATCGAGAAGAGCGAGTCTGCTGGACTGGGCCTTCGCGACAAGAGGACCAGCATCGAGTGCTTGGGCATCCGCCAGCAGAAGCAGCAGACGGGGCTTCATATTCGCTGGGCTCACAACGACGCCATGCTAGCCGACAGACTTGCCAAGGACCGCGCCGCGAGGTGCCTGCTGGAGTTCTTCAGGAGTGGTCAGCGCTGGAGGCCCATGGATGATCCACTACATCGCAGGGCCAGGAAGCGCAAGCTTCAGGTCATCGACAAGATCGACCACGGTGCTCCAATACCAGACAGTGCAAAGTCCAACATGGTGGAAGCCCTGATCTACTTCTCACACGATAGCGAGAGCGAGGACGCGCAGGCCAAATCTGCCGGAAATGAAGCCCTCTGGGGGCCAGTGAAGCCTACTCCGCGCTCTGTTCGTCCTGCGAACTCAGAAGTCAGAGACAAGTTTCGATGACGTAACATTGAAATTCATTTTTTTCGGCATGCAGTTCACCGCCCATCGCATGCCTACCTGGTGCCCACTTACGACAGATTGGCCCCAGAGGCCGAGCGTGATAGTCCCTCCAGCCCTCTGGGCGTAGGTGGTTTAACGAGTTTTGCCGTCTCTCTTTCCGCAAACCCTCCTTCCCCTACTCGGGGGAAGGGTTTACTCCTTCCCCCTCCCCCCTCCCTCGGGACTGGGCGGGAGGGTGCGCGAGGCACTCGAGCGCCCAAGAGAGCCCAAGATGGCTCCAAAAGGGCCGCAGAGAGCCCAAGACGGCCTTCAAGATGGCTCCAGATAGGCTCCCACATGCAGCGAAGACGCCCGGATACTTTTTCGTCGCGGCCGTAAGCGACAGCGCAGGCGGCGTCCGAAGTCAGCCCGGGCTACGAGCCAAACCTAATTACCTAAGCGCGCGAACGAATGGCAGCCGGAGCTGCCGCCGAGGGACGCTGGGGACTGAAGGCAGAGCTGCAAGAGGTGCCAGGTGTGCCAGGCGGCTGAACGAGCTGGTGGGGATACGCGAAGCGTCAAGGATTTCCGTGGCTCCACAGGATCCATGCTATACAGTTTAAGGGCTCTGTAAGAGCCCACTGCATGTTTACGTAAGTCTGCGTTCCACGGCGTATCGTGTTCCTCCCTTCCGTTTGCAGCCCTGCCATGCTTAATGGTCTCCCCGAGAGCCCTCTTGGAGCCCCAAGCCCGAGAGGCTCGTTATATATGCTTCACATGTTTCCAGAACGTTTTTTTTCCGAAACCGCTTGGGCTCAAGACTTTGTTGCGGCAAGCCGCTGCAGGTCTTCCTCTGACGTGCGGCCGAGAGCCGCAGGACAGCTGCTGTGCCCGCTGCCGACTCAGTACTGCCCCATTGTCACGAGTGTGATCAGCATCAGACACGACCTTGCCCGACGATATCTTTCTTAGCATCGAGCCCAGCGATGTCTCTCTTAGCATCGAGACAAATGTGGTGAGAGGAAGGGGAGAGTATACGGACTGCTAGCAGGGCAGTGGTCAAAGCGGGACCGTTGCACAGGGTGCGGCGGCGGGCGCGCGCCAGGCGAGGCGCAAACCAGCGCGGGGGTGCGCTGCGGGGGGCGCTGGGCGGCGGCGATCGGCGCTCGCGGACCACTGCGCCGTCCCGGAGGTCTCCGCCCCTGTCTCGGGTGTCGGGGATCTTCTCACCCGGGCCAATCCAGACCCGGGGCAGTCAGGCCTTGCAGGATCCTGCAAAACCCCTGCAGGATCCTGCAAGATCCTGCGCCCAAGCCCGGGTCAATGCGCCCCTGGCCCCTCCTCCTCCTCCTCGTCCTCGTCCTCGTCTTCCTCCTCCTCCTCCTCCTCCTCCTCCTCCTCCTCCTCCCGGATCAATGCACTCTGACTGACCCCGTCTGAGTTGGCCCGCGTCTCTTGGGGCCCGAGGGTGAGCTCGAGCTGTGGGCCCTGGCCGGCGCACCGACTCCTGTCTGTGGAGTGGCAGCTGCTCGGTTGCGATGGGAGCGCTGGGCGGGCGCCAGGCGACGGCTGCTCCCAGGGGCCCAGTGCCGTGCACTGCGGGCTAGCGCTGCAGAAAAAGCAGTATCAGGGGGGCGTCATCTCCTTGTTCTTCTTCTTCTTCCTCCTCCTCCTCCTCCTCTTCCTCATCTTCCTTCATCCCAGGATGAGGAAGAGGGAATCGGAACGGGGGGGAAGGAGGAACACGACGGGGGAGAAGGGAGGATGAACAATGGGGAAAAGGGCGGAGGACGAAAACAGGAGGAGGCCGCGGAGGAGGAGGGGGAAGGAGGAGGAGGAGGAGGAGGAGGAGGAGGAGGGAAAGGGGAGACAGGAGGAAGAGGAAAAGGGAGAAGGGGTAGGGAGGGTTGGACTGAGGGAGGATGATGCAGAGGATTAGGAGGGAGGAGGAGCAAGACCAGGAGGATGAGGAAGAGGGAGACGGGGTGGGTGGGAGGGACGGGGAGATGAGGGAGGGAGTGAGGGAGGGAGTGAGGGAGGACGAGGTTGTGGACGAGGGGGGGGGAGGGGGCACCCCTTGGGAATGTCGACAAGCCACGGAGGTTGCCGTCGACCTCGATGAGCCCCCCCCGATGTGGAGGGCTTGGCCAGGGTCCGTCAAACACAGCTGGCGAGAGCATCACCGTCTCCAATGCGCCAGCAACGCCAGGCAGGACAGCTCGCGTCTCCCGTGGAGTGCGCAAACCAGCAGGGGCGGCTGGCTGCGAACCGGCGACTGGATTGGAGGCCTCCTCTCCCACCTCCTTCCTCCATGATTCCGCCCCTAGGCTCCGGGATGCCCGCATGGACGATGGGCCCGGTGGTGAACGGCTCCATCTCTGGCAAGCCTGAGGAGTGATGATGAGGATGATGATGCTGCTGCTGCTGATGCTGCTGATGCTGCTGCTGCTGATGCTGCTAATGATGCTGCTGCTGATGCTGCTGATAATGATGTTGATGATGATGGGGTTACTAATATTCATGATGACGATGATGGCGGTGGTGTTGTTGATGGTGGTGATGATAATGATGATGGTGTGGATTCTGATCATGATGATAATGACAGCAACGAGTACGATGACGATGACGATGACGATGATGATGGTGATGCTGATGATGATTCTGATGATGACGATGATTATGCTGATGCTGATAATGACACTGGTGATCATGATGGCGATGCTGGTTGTGGTGTTGGTGTTGTTGATGATGCTGACTGCGACAATTAAGATGACGATGACGACGACGATGACGATGATGATGACGATGACGATGATGCTGATATTGACGATGATAATGATGATGCTGATGATGTTGATGTTGTTACTGATGATCGTGCTGACGATGATGGTGGTGGTGTTGTTGATGATGATAACGACGATGGTGACGATGATGATGAAGATGATGGTGGTGATGATGGTGGTATTGATGATGATGATGATGATGATGGTGGTGGTGGTGGTGGTGGTGACGATGATGATGATGCAGATCATGATGATGCAGAAGACGATGATGATGATGATGATGATGATCGTGATGCTGATGATGAGGACAGAGATGATAACGATTACGACGAATCTGGTGATGATGCTGATGGTTGTGGTGGTGATGATCACGATGGTGCTGATTATGATGATGACGGTCTGGGAAAGACGATTACGATGACGATGACGATGCCGACGATGACGATGACGATAATGAAGATTATGATGATGATACTGATGATACTGATGCTGCTGATGCTGCTGATGATGATGCTGACGATGATGATGATGATGATGATGATGATGATGATGATGATGATGATGATGATGATGATGATGATGATGCTGATGATGATGATGCTGATGATGGTGGTGATGATGGTGGTGGTGGTGAGGGTAGGTGGTGCTCATGACGGCGACGCGGATAAGGATGAGGACGATGATGCTGACGATTGTGATGGTGATGGTGATGGTGATGATAACAATGATGGTGAAGACGATGATGACGATGATGAGGAGGAGGACGAGGAAGAGGAGGACGAGGAGGAGCAACGGCAGAGGCAGAGGAGGCAGAGAGGGCAGAGGAGGCAGAGGATGATGAGGAGGATGAGGAGGAGGAGGCGGAGGAGGGGAAGGAGGCGAAGGAGGAGCAGAAGCAGACGCACGAGGGCGAACACGCTGATGAGGGGGAGGAGGAGCACGAGTAGAAAGCGGCGAGCCTATCTTGGCGAGCTCCGGGTCCGTGGGGTCAGCGACACGGACGGTCACCTTGTGGGCCCCTATGCCATTCTTCTCCTCCTCATCCCTTTTCCTCATCCGCTGACCCCCGCTTGTCAGGAGTGATAATGCGTGTGAGGTGCTTGGCTATTCCCCTCCCCTGTTTCCCCTCCCTGGGGGTGTCTAGCCTCCATCGCCATCGCCTGCAAGGTGTCCAGTATGCCCACCAAGACTGCTCAAGGAGGGCTCCAGCACGCCCGAGGGCCTCAAGAAGAGCTCCAGAGACGCGAAGAGACCCCTTATGAAAGTCAAAAGACGTCCCAACAGGGAGCCCAGACACTCCGAGAATTGAAACACATTAGTTTCGCAGTTTATCGCTCCAGAAGGCTCCTGGGCATCGTAAGATGCCCCCAAGATGGGCTCCTGAGGCTCTCGGCTGCCTCCGAGGCAATCCCAACATGGCTCCAAACCGGTCGGTCCAAGACAGTCAATAGGTCCAAGACAGTCAAGACCTCTCCACGCGGCCCCAATGCCCTCCAAACGACCCCAGGACCCCCGAGGGGACGCCAATATTGCCCCAACAGGCCCCCAGAGATCGCCCAAAGAGTTCCACGACAATGCCAGAGGCCCCCAGAGCAGCCCACATGGACCCACGAAGGCCGCAAGGCAGGCCCGCATGATCGGTCATACGTGTTCCAAGGCCGCTACCCCCCAACGCTCACAGTTTTGGAGACTTGCGCGCTGGTCACGACTCCCTGGTCGACGGGGCGCATCGGCGCCAGCGCGCCACGCTGGGGTCTGTCGCCCGCGCAGCTGTCCCTCTGTAAGACGAAGCCAGGACGAGGATAACGTCGGGTGAGCACAAATCGTGGATCTCCGAGCGGCGCGGCCTTCTCAGAGCGTCCCGGCACGTTCCGCGAGCGCCCCAGAACGCTCTGGAACGGCTTCATCCTCGCCCCAACCCCGTCCTGGCCCGCCCCGACCGCCATGCTTTTTGTCCTGACAGAGACCAGCCGCACGCGTACTGGCCAGAGGTTTGAAAAACGCGCAATTGCGCCGTCGTCAGTAGTGGACCGAAAGGACCGAGAACAGGCTGAGGAAGGCCACCGTGATGGAAGCCACCTCGAAGCCGCCCCGACCGCCATGCCCAGCAGGTCGGGCAACCGACGCCCGGGGGGGACACACCGCGCGCGCGCGCGGCGCGAGAGCGCCCCAGAACGCTCTGGAACGGCCTCATCCTCGCCCCCCGGACAGCTTCGGGCAAGGACAGCTTCGGGCACACGCCGCCCGCGCGCCGCGCGCGGCGCGAGGCGCGCGCCGTGCGACGCCGGCCGCGCCGCGCAGGCCGCGGCCCGCCGAGCGGGCGGCGGCCCCCCGAACGACCCGCGGCCGTGCCTGCGGGTTGCTCGTGGTGCTGGGCGCGCCGCGTGGCGCCCGCCGGGAGGCGCTGGGGCGGCGGCCGCTGGCGCGCGAGGCGCGGGGGCGTGGCGAGGAGGAGGGAGGCGCAGCCAGGGCGAGGACCGCCTCGGGCAGGGGTGCCTCGAAAACCCCGCGGGGGGGGGGGGGGGCAAGGAGGAGTGGGACGAAGCCGGGGCGAGGACAGCTTCGGGCAAGGACGCATGGAACACCTCGGAGGTCCCGCGGATCTGGAAGATGTCTCGGGCGCCGCGGCCTTCGCAGAGCGTTCCGGAACGCTCTGAGAGCGTTCCGGCACGTTCTGAAGCGGATGGATCCTCGTCCTAGCCCCGCGCGCAGAAGCCCACCACAGTCGGATGTTGCTAGATGTGCCCCTTGGCCCAAGGTGCCCCCAGGATTTCCAAGGAGGCCACCGCGGCCTCCTTGGAAATCCTGGGAGGAGGAGGAGGAGAGGAGGAGGAGGAGGAGGAGGAGGAGGAGGAGGAGGAGGAGGGGGAGGGGGAGGGGGAGGGGGAGGAGGAGAAAAAGGAGGAGGCCACCGCGGCCTTCAGAGCACCCATCACGGGGCCCAGAAGGCCGGACCGATCTGCGCTGGCCCCGGGGCCCGAAACTGGGCGAAGACGCTCCTCCTGAAAAAGCGGCCGCCGCCGCCGTCGTCGCCGTCGTCGCCGTCGTCGTCGCCGTCGTCGCCGCCGTCGCCGCCGTCGTCGTCGTCGTCGTCGTCGTCGTCGTCGTCGTCGTCGCCGCCGTCGGGGGCCTTCGGCTCCGCGGCCTCCGGGGGCCCGTCGGCAGCCCCTCGGCGCGCCTCGGTGCGCCTGCGGCGTGCCCCCGCGGTGGCCCGCGGCGGGCCTGCCGGAGGCCTGCGAGGCGCTCTCCATCGCTCGGACGTCCATTCCGTGTTTTTTTTTTTTTTTTTTTTTTGTTTTTCCGGTTGCGTGCGTGGTTTCTTCGCCAAATGATCAAGGATGCTCCTCGATGGTCCTCGCCGAGGAAAAACGCACTCGTCCGAGCGATGCCGAGGGCGGCGCGGAGGCGGGCTCGCAGCGTGGAGGGGGGGGTAGCGATGGCGGCTCCTGCCCGCAGCTGGCACCTGTCCTGCGAGTCCTGCTGGAGCGGGGCGGACGAGGGAGAAGCCCGGGGAGGGCGAGCCGCGTGGAGGGGAGGATAGCGATGGCCAGGCAAGGTGCAGCGCAGAAGAGGGGAGGTGTCGATGGCCGGGCGAGATGCAAAGGGAAGCGAGGGGGAGGGGGGGGGAATGGAGGGATCCTCCTCTCAGTCTCTCTCTCTCTCTCTCTCGCTCTCGCTCCCTCTCTCTCTCCCTCCTTGTCTCACTCCCTCCTCCCTCTTCCACGCTCCCCTTTCCTCCCCCCTCCGCTTGGCAGACCGGGACCGTATGCGACAGAATTCGGCACCACCAGCTGGAACAATAATTTCCCACCCAAGTCTCCAAGCATGCTCGTTACAGGCTCGGACGAGCTGCACTTGCGCGGTCACACACACAAACAACGAAGCCGAAAGGATCAAAGACCACGAGCAGGAGACTTAACACACCGCTCGAAACCCGCACCCCGCCCCCTCGCCCCCCTCGCCCCCCTCGCCCCCCCCTCTTCGCTCCCCCTCCCGCTCCCCCGTGGGTCGCCTCGTGGGTCATGTAGGTTGTCATGATCCCGGGCGTGGACGACGACGAGGACCTCTCCGAGCGGTAGGAGTAGCTCTCGGGCTCCACTCTGAGCACGCCGCCGAACAGCCTTTCGGGGGGCCGCCGAGGCGCAGCCAGCACTCCCGGCACTCGCTGCCCCCCCACCCTCCTCGCTGCTGCCGCCCCTTCCCGTGCCGCCCCTCTCGCCCCGCTCCGCCCCTCGCCGCCTCCTCGTCGCCCCCCACGCTCCAGGGCGTTGACCTGCGGGAAGCCTCGGCGAACATCACCCCTCCACCACTCCCCCCTCCTATTCCACCTTCTACTCCTCCTCGCCGTCGCCCTCGTCCTCGTCTTCGCTCGTCGCCTTCGCCGTCGTCCCCTCCTTCTCCTCCCTCCCTCCCTCCATCCCGTCTCCTTCTCCTCTCCTCATTTCTCTCTTCCCCCCTCCATCCCTCATCCCTCCTCCCTTCTCCTTCCTCTCACTTCCCCCCTCGCTTTACACCCCTCCCCCCCTCCCACTCCCCCGCCTCCCTCGCCTATCGAGGGGCGCGAACGTGAGGGGAGGGGTGAAGGCGATGAGGAGGGGAGGGGAGCGGAGAGAAGCGGAGTGGACGGGTGGGTGGGTGGGGGGGCAGCGGCAGGGGGCGCGGGAAGGAGGGCCAAAGGCGGGAGGGCGAGGATGGGAACGCCGCAGGAGTACGTACAGTGAGAGGTACACCAGCAGCGTGCAGAGCAGCACCACCGGACTTGCAGTGCCTCGGGGCACGGCCCAGCCTCCGGCTGCCAGGCGCACGCAGTGCAAAACGAAGCACGCCAACGATCGCCCACTCGGGGAGCACGGCTGGAGACAGCCGCGCGACACCTTCACAGATCGCTGCCTGGGCGGGCAGCACAGTCAAAACAAGAGGAGCACAGCAGCGACAGGCCGGCCACAAGCACCTCGGCGCACAACTCCCCCCCTCTCAAATACGGCGCACTCCTGGCGCCACGCTCAGGCAGAAAGAGGAACACAGCAGCGACATGCTGGCCACGAACATCACAGCGCACAACTGCCCTCGGCGCCATGCTCAGATGACGAGGCACTTCTGGCCCAGCCTTTTGACTTTTTCGAGCTGCGTCAACGCCTGCCGGCCTCAGACCACGAAGCGCCTCAGTGGTCGCGCCGCCCCGATCAGCGGCCCGAGGTGCGCCACATCCGACGGCGTGGCCGTTACCCCCCACGCACGCCAGGGCGGGGAACCCTGGCTTTGGAAAGACCAGATGAGAACGTGGCGGCGAGATGCAAAGAGTCTCTTCCCCGCCCGCCCCATGCCGAACATCGGGGTTGCCCACGCCCCTCGAACGATCGGGATGACGATCGGGCTGCAACCCGCCAGTTCATCTGGGAAGGGGACCCAGTGGCACAGGTGTCGGGGAGGGGTGGGGGGAGGCGCGGGGAAGGAGGAGGAGGAGGAGGAGGAGGAGGAGGAGGAAAAGAACAAGGAGGAGGAAAAGGAGGAGGAGGGGGAGGAGAAGGAGGAGGAGGAGGGAGGAGGAGGAGGAGGAGAAGCAGGAGGAGGAGGAGGAGCAGCAGCAGCATGAGCAGCAGGAGGGGAGAGGAGGAGAAGGAGGAGGAACAGCAGGAGGAGGAGGAGCAGCAGGATGAGAGTGAGGGTGAGGGTGAGGGTGAGAGTGAGGGTGAGGAGGAGGAGGAGGAGGAGGAGGAGGAGCAGGAGCAGGAGGAGGAGGAGGAGGAGGAGGAGCAGGAGCAGGAGGACCTGTTTACCTGTTTACCTGTATGCCGTGGGGAGCAGGAGGAGGAGGAGGAGGAGGGAGGAAGAGGGACGAGGAGGAAGAGAGGGGAGGAGGAGGAGGAGGAGAGGAGGAGGGGGGAGGAGGAGGAGGAGGAGGAGGAAGAGGAGGAGGAGGAGGAGGAGGAGGAGGAGGGAGTGAGGGTGAGGGACGGTGGAATCTCTGGATTGCACGACCGTTGAGGCATCTAGCCTGTCGATGCATGGCGGCGCTGCAGCCAAACATAAGATTATGGGACGCAATATCGATTCGGCTACGGGCCCGAAGATCGCCAGGAAGGCGCACGTGCATATGGAGACGCGAGCACGACACAGGGGCAGGTGTGGCGTAGGCTCGGGACATGAACAACAATGAAACCAGCAACCTTGGCGGGGGGGGGAGGGAGAGGGGACTTCGAGGCCTGGGCTCCAGCCGGAAGCGCTCCAAGAAGCACTGCTCCATGGCCTCCTCCCACGTGTCGCCCTCGAGCAGCGTGTGCGCCAACTTCTGGATGCGGCCTCGGAGCCTCCCGTCCTCAAGGGTCTCAGGGGAGGAGGTGGAGGAGGAGGAGGCGGAGGAGGAGGAGGCGGAGGAGGAGCAGAGGAGGAGGAGAGGAGGAGGAGGAGGAGGAGGAGGAGGAGGAGGAGGAGGTGGAGGAGAGGAGGAATGGATGAGGAATGAATGAATGGAGGAGGAGGAGGAGGAGGAGGAGGAGGGGGAGGAGGAGCAGGAGCAGGAGGAGGAGGAGGAGGAGGAAGAGGAGGAAGAGGAGGGGGAGGAAGAGGAGGAGGAGGAGCAGGAGGAGCAGGAGGAGGAGGAGGAGGAGGAGGAGGAAGAGGAGGGGGAGGAAGAGGAGGAGGCGGAGGAGGAGGACGATGAGGATGATGAGGAGGATGAGCGGTGAACGGTGAAGTCCTGGCTGGAAACGACCTGCGTGGGTCAGGACAGCATGGTACATTGTTCGCGCACACTCAGAGGATAATCGGCCATGCCTCTCTGTCTCGTGTTTAGTTTCCCATCTCAATGACCCCTGGCTGGCATGCGCTTCAAAACGTACCAGCACGTGCTCGACGGAGGGAGGGGAGGATGGCAACGAGAAGCAGGAGGAGGGGGAGGAGGAGGAGGAGGAGGAGGAGGAGGAGGAGGAGGAGGAGGAGAAGGAGGACCATGAGGAGGAGGCGGCAGAGGAGGGTGAGGGGAAGGAGGCGGGGGAGTACGAAGAAGGAGAGGGAAAGAACATGGAGTGAGGAAGGAGGTGGAGGCGGAGGATTGGGAGAAAGGCCAGGCGTTCTCTTCGAGCGAAAACCGCTACCCTGGGGGAGCTAGGGCCAAATTCGAGTGAGACGCGCCGCAACAAAGAAGCGCAGATACGGAAGCCGGCCGACGCAGCGGCCCTCCGCCAAGACGACTCCCTCGTAAGGCTAAAGGCCTGTCCTCAAAGGCGCGAGCAGACGACGGGAGCTGGCACGGCAGCTCGGGTGCCAGGCAGCGCCGGCGCGCTGGAGATCAGCGCTCTGCGCCGCCTGCCCTACCCAGCACTCAGCACTCTGTCTCCTCGCAGGGCCAGGAGGGTCCTCATCTGCAGCTTTGCTCTGCCCCTTGTGGCAAGCTGGAATAGAGCACCCATGCCCGAGAACACGACCCCAGACCCGCGGCAAAGGGTCAAATTGTGCATGCCCTCAGCAAATAATCGAAACGAGCCAACGAACAACTGGTTTCCCTGCATCTCGCCACCCTTCTCCCCCCTCCTCCTCCTCCTCCTCCTCCTCCTCCTCCTCCTCCTCCTCCTCCTCCTCCTCCTCCTCCTCCTCCTCCTCCCCCTCCCCCTCCTCCTCCTCCTCCTCCTCTTCCTCCTCCTCCTTCTCTTCGTCCCCCCCTTCTCCTCGTCCTCCTCCGCCCTTTCTCAACTTTCGTGCTATGGGTGCGGGATTCCAACATGCACCTTGCCAAACTCACCACCTCTCCGCGCTGGATGATCAGCTGGGCATCCGTGCACGTTCGCAGGCACTCGATGAGCGTCTCTGCGTTGCCACGGACGTCGTTCACAGCCTTGAGGGAGGGAAGGGGGAGGGAGGTCGCAGAGATGAGGGACGGAAGACGAGGGAGGAGGCGGAGGGCCAGATGTATCGCGGGCCAGAGAAACAACGTACCGCAGGGGTCATGCCAGTCTCTTTTAGATCTTCCAGGTTCTGAAAAGAGATCCTGACACTCGAAGGGGATCCGGGATCCAGGAAGGTAGGGAGGGGATAAGGGAGAGTTGGAAGAAGGCTGCTTCCTCTAGATCTCCCAAATGTCGAGAGGAGATCCTGACACGAAGGGGATCCAGGAAGGGAGGGAGGGAATACGGGAGGGCTTGAAGAAGGGAGCAAGAAGGGAGAAGGGAGGAACATCCATGGAGGGAACAGGGGAGAAGGGAGCGATGGAGGAGCAAGTACTGATGCTGATGACGATGATGCTGACACTGCTGCTGCTGCCGCTGACGACGAATGGTGATGATGATTCTGCTGCTGCTAATAATCATTTTGATGATGATGATGAAGACGATGATGATGATGAGGATACGGAGAAGGAGGATGACGATGGTGACGATTGACGACGGCGACGACGGTGATGATTCGGATGAATATGATGACGATGATGATGGTGATGATTGTAATGTTGATGGTGACTATGATGCTGATAATGCTGATAATGATGATGCTGATGATGATGATGATGACGATGATGATGATGATGATGATGATGATGATGATGATGATGATGATGATGATGATGATAGTGCTGCTGGTGATGATGTTGATTACGGTGCTGATGCTTGTGATTATCCTGATGTGGATGCTGATGATGTTGATAATGGTGATGGTAATAATGATAACGATGATGTTGATGGTGCTTGTGATGGTCAGGATACTGACGATGATGCTGACGATGCTGATGATGATGATGATGATGATGATGATAATGATGATGATGATGATGATGATGATGATGATGATGATGATGATGCTGTTGCGGATGCCGATGCTGATGCTGATGATAATGATGATCAGGGGGCAGCGATGCTGATATGGATGAGGGGACGATGATTATGATAGTGTTGATGCTGCTGCTGATTGTGATGGTGGTGATGACGATGCTGGTGATGATGGTGATGGTGATGCTGATGCTGATGCTGATGCTGATGATGATGCTGCTGCTGATGCTGCTGATGATGATGATGATGATGATGATGATGATACGGATGAGGATGATGATGCTGATGATGATGATGCTGATGACGATGATGCTGGCGATGATGATGGTGATGGTGACGGTGCTGCCGATGATGATGACGATGATGCTGATAATGATCATGCTGATGATGAAGCTGCTGCTGATCATGAGCATTGGATAGGGAATCATGGAATGAGGAATCCAAAGTCTGGAGGCCGGTGGAACTCCAATCGTGGATTGGCTATGGCTATCACTGCCACCCTCATCACATAAGCAGCCCTGCAAGGTCTGAAGCCTCCTGGGCACATTCCTTAACGAACGCCCCCCACCGCGTGCGTGTCCGGCTCCCTGGTGCCGTTGGTCCTCAAGACCCAGGGGCTTACGGTTGCCGCCCTATCGCCAGGGTTGGTGAAAGAGAACGGCTTCATAACTTACCAAACCTCGGCTTCACCACATGGCCGATGGCGAGCAGGAGGAGGAGGAGGAGGAGGAGGTGGAGGAGGACGAGGAGTAGGAGGATTGGCGAGCATGACGCATTGCACATTTTCATCTGCTCCGACTGCGGGGAATTTGGTCAAGACTGGAAGGAGATGGACGAAGAAGGTGATAAGCTCGCCGCTCTTCGCCATTGTGCGGCACAGTGGCCAGAGACCGCCGACGATTCGGAGAACCTGCGAAGTCCTCGCTGGGTGCCTCCGGGGGTGCCCCCAAGACAGACTCAGATACGGGCAGCTCAGCCAAGAGGATGATACGGCCGTGACCCGTGCGCGTCTTGTGGCAGCGAGAGCGCAATGAGGGCAGCCGCTGCTCTCGAGCCTCCCGGCACATGAAATGGGCCTGTACTTCGTGGTGTCGATCCACGAGCTCGCCGCTTACGCATGCATCGAGGCTGCCCAGATCTGAGCCCAATTGGCATGCCACTGGCCAGCAATGCTCTGGGACTCACCTGAACCCAGATCAGAAGCACGCGGTATTCCACCCGGACCTCGTGAAACACAGCTGCTAGGACTGTGTCGGCCGGCCTCGCTCATGGTCGAGGACACCGGGCATTAGTAAGGAAAGGGGCGCATGCTGCTACTCACGTGCGAGACTCATTTGGGCGCGAGCGCGCCCGTGTGCACTGTCATGAAAGCTGGTGCTTCGGGGATGGACAGACCCCCCTTTAGTAAAACGTGGTTTGGTGAAAACGACCCGAGGCCCAAACCTGGCGGGCGCAAGCCTGGAAAATAACGGCCACGGCGCCCTCTCGAGAACCGAAAACGGACAATTCACTAATCGACGTGTCGCTGTTGGGGGTTCTGTCCACCCCCGAGTGCTTGCACTCGGAGGAGGAGGAGGAGGAGGGGGAGGAGGAGGAGGAGGAGGAGGAGGAGGAGGAGGGGGAGGAGGAGGAGGAGGAGGAGGAGGAGGAGGAGGAGGAGGAGGAGCACTCGCGCTGGAGGGCGTACGCACGCGTGTCCGTGCCTCGCCACCTCGTCGCGCCGGCGTGGGCACCAGCACGGGGAGCGGGTCTTCGCAGGTCAGCGCCAGCTCTGTGGCCAGGTCGTCCGACAGCAACAAGGAGGAGGTAGAGGTGGGAGGAGGGAAAGGAGGGAAGGGGGAAGAGGAGGCGGAGGAGGAGGAGGAGGCGGAGGAGGAGGAGGAGGAGGAGGAGGAGGAGAAGGATAATGGGGAGGAGGAGGGAGAGGAGGGGGGAAGGGAGGAGGGGAAGAGAGAAGAGGGATGATAATCATGCTGCTGCTGATGTTGATGCTGGTGATGATGGTGATGATGCTGATGATGGTGATGATGATGATAATGAAACTGATGATGATGATGATGATGATGATGATGATGATGATGATGATGATGATGATGATGATGATGATGATAGTATTGGCGATTGCGATGGTGATGATGCTGCTGCTGCTGATGGTGATGTCGAGGAGAACGCCAGCTACCATTCCTCTGCCTGTTGGCGTTCCCGCGCTGGTCGCGCGATGGGTCGGATCAGTCAGGCCAGGGCAGCGGGTCGTCGCAAGTAGCTCCCCGTAAGGGTCTCGTGCGCTGCACCTCTGAACCCCTTTGGCTCTATGCTTTTTCAACTCTGAGCTCGGGGTTCATACTCTGTTCGAGCGAGATGCCAGGACCAGCCTGCGGGTAGGCGGGGCGAATCGTCGCCTCTGCTTTGGGCCCGCTCACTGCCACTGCTTGCGGGCCCGTGCCCATCGAAAGTAACCCCGGACGCCGGGACGGAATTCTGGGCTGTGCCCGTGCCCGACCTCAGGGGCGGAGAGAGGCAGGAAGTGCTGGCCCTTCGCGCCTGCAAAAAGATGCGTATATCCGACGTGTGACACCTGTTTCGTGGATGGATCTCTGAGGCTCACCGCCGCCGCCGCTTGGCGGTGCGCGGTGCGAGCAGGAGCGCAGCAAGGCCACAGGAAGACACGGCATTCACAGTGTAGCTCCGCACGCGTGCCACGTGCTAACGAGCAAGAGCACACAACAAAGCCCCAGGAGAGCGAGGCATGAACATTGCAGTTCCGCACACGTGACACATGCTGACGAGCAAGAGCACACAACAAAGCCCCAGGAGAGCGAGGCATGAACATTGCAGCTCCGCACGCGTGACACATGCTAACGAGCAAGAGCACACAACAAAGCCCCAGGAGAGCGAGGCATGAACAATGCAGCTCGTTGCCGTGTTACCTTGCCCCTCGCGTGCGGCGCGGCTTCACTGCGGGGCTCCGTTTTCCATCCCGTTGCCGAGCGCGATCGCGCGGTTCGCGGAGGAGGAAGCGGAGAAGGAGAAGGTGGAGGATGGTGATGACGACGGAGAATGGGAAGAGGGGAAGAGGGAAGGCGGACGAGGAGGAGGAGGACGAGGCTGCGGAGGAGGAGGAGGAGGAGCCTCGATGGACATGCCCTTCGTGACCACGCAGTGGAACTGCCCCCGCGAGATCTGCGCCAGGTTGTGCATCTCGAGCAGGCCCTTGGGGTGCAGGTCCTGGGTCTGAGCAGGACGGAGAAGGAACACGACGACGAACATGAGGAGGGGTTTGGCGGAAGGCGGAGGAGGAGGAGGAGGATACTGGCGGGAAAGGCCGTAGGAGGGGAAGGGAAGATGGGGTGGATTCTAGGATTCTAGGGTTTTTGGTTTCTAGCGTGGTCCCGCGCGCGACCCCATGGGGCAGGATGTCCTGGAGATGATCGGGTGAACGAGTAGGGGATGATGATGCTGCTGCTGCTGCTGATGATGATGATGATGATGATGATGATCAGGGTGATCATGATGCTGGTGATGATGATTAGGATGATGGTGAAGCTGATGATGATGATGCTGATGATGATGACGATGATGAAGGTGATGAATGTGATGCTGATGACGATGATGATGAAGATGATGCTGATGAGAACGCTGATGCTAAGGCTGATGCTGATGATGACGACGATGATGATGCTGACGATGATGATGCTGCTGATGCTGCTGATGATGATGCTGATGCTGATGAGGATGATGATGATGATGATGAAGCTGATGATGATGATGATGATGATGATGATGATGATTACGATCCTGATGATGATGCTGACGATGATGATGACACTGCTGATGATAACTCTGATGATGCTGACGACGCTGAATGTTGATGCTGATGATGACGATGCTGATGAGGATGAGGATGCTGGTAAGGGTGATGGTGATGATGATGGTGGTGATGATGATGATGACGATGATGATGAGGATGACGATGCTGCTGCTGCTGATGCTGATGCTGATGATGAGGATGATTATGATGCTGATGCTGCTGCTGGTGATGATACTGATTCTAATGATAATGATGCTGATTCTGATGCTGATGATGATGATGATGGGAGTGGGATGCTGCTGATGAGGCTGTTGATGATGTTGATGATGCTGATGAGGTTGACGCTGATTATGAAGATGATGCTGATGCTGATGATGATGATGATGATGACAAGGATGATGGTGATGCTTATGCTGATCCTGATGCTGATGCTGTTGATGATGATGGTGATGAGGAGTAGGAGGAGGATGAGGAGGCGCAGGAGGAGGAGGCGGAGGAGGAGGAGAGGAGCAGGAGGAGGAGCAGGTGCAGACCAAGCAAGCCCTGGGGGTGCAGGTCCTGGATCTGCAAGCACGCCGCGTTACTGCCCGTCTCCTCGGCACAGAGGCGGGATAGAGGGGGGAAAGACCACCAGTGGCGGAGGAGAACGATGAGGATGAGGATTAAGAAAAAAGGACGAAGGAGGAGGAGGAGGAGGAGGAGGAGGAGGAGGAGGAGGAGGAAGAGGAGGAGGAAGACGAGGAGGAATCCGCCGACCCTGTCGGCGTGTGGAAGAGGCTTCTCCGTCTGTCCCCTCCTCGGCGAAATTGAGCAACGTCGTAATTGAGTCGAAGGGAAGCCCCTTCCCTTTGATCCCTTCCGCGCCGGGGGGGGGGGTCCCGGGGTGGGTCCCGGGGGGGGTCCTGGGTTTTTACGCCGCCCCCCGGGGTGGGTCCCGGGGGGGTCCCGGGTTTTCGCGCCGCCCCCCCGGGGAATCCCGGAGCCCAAAAAAGTCCCAAGACGGGCCAAGAGTGCCCAGAGAGGCCACCAAGACGATCCAAGAGGGCGCCGAATCGCCGAATGATCTGTCCAAGAATCCTCGACGGCCTCCAGACGGCCCAAGAGGCCTGCGAGACGCCCCAAGAGGCCTCCAGGACCGTTCCCACGAGAGCCCCAAAAGGTACAAATCCGCCGACCCCTTGCGGGTCTCGAAGCATGTGAGATTGTTCCCCCCCTCATAACCCGTCCGTGGGGACTCCAAACCGGAGATTTGACCCCCCCCCCCCCGGACCCCCCCCTGGCCCGGCGCGAGCGACTCACGGGGCCCAAGAGGGCCCACGAGGGCCCAAAGACGGGCCAAGAAGGCCCCAAGAGGCCTCCAAGACGGCCCACGAGGGCCCCAAGACGCCAAACGAGCGCTCAAAGACGCCCACGATGGCTCCAACACGGGCCAAGAGGCCTCGAAGATGCCCCAAGAAGCCTCCAAAAGGCCTCCCAAAGGGGGCTGAGAAGCCAAAATCATTGATTGTTTCAATTGTTTTTCAATGAATTTTGGGCTTTCGCGTTTTCCGCTTCCCGACGCCCCAAGACGGCCCCAGAGGCCCCGAAGACAGCCCCAAGACGGCCCAAGAGGCCTCCAAGATGGCCCCAAGACGGCCCAAGAGGGCCCAAAGACGGCCCAAGAGGCGCCCAAGACGGCCCAAGAGGGCCCCAAGCCAAGACGGGCCCAAGAGGGCGCCAAGAGGGGGGAAACAAAAACTCATTTCGAGCCCTCGGCCCCCAGACGCCCCCGGGAAGCCCAAAGAGGCCCCCCAAGAGGGCCCCAAGAGGCCCCCAAGAGGCCCCAAGCATGCCCCTAGAGGCCCAAAACAGGCCCCAAGAGGCCCCCAAACTGCCCCCAAAGGGTCTCCAAAGTGTGGGCGGTACCACTTGAGGCATACGGACGACGCACCTCGCGTGGTACTTGATTGGTACCACTTGAAGTCTCCGAGAGACCGACCACGAGATCCCAAAGAACACTCCTGAGGCCTCTGACTCACAACCCAGGCACGGTGGCGGGATTGGCGGGACGGGCCTCAGGCCATTCGAGAAAAATCCTTCTCAGGATCCGCGACAAGATCCTCACTTGTCCTCGTCGTCTTCTTCCTCCTTCCCCTCCTCCTCCTCCTCCTCCTCCTCCTCCTCCTCCTCCTCCTCCTCCTCCTTCTCCTCCCCCGTCGTCTCCCCCTCCTGCTTTGTTCCTCCCTACTCTCCACAGCCTTCGCGCGCTGCCAGACGCGCTACAGCGCCTTCGTGGAAGCCCCCCAGAAGCTCCGAATCGGCCCCCAAGTGGCTTCATAACTGGATTCCAGGGGCCCCCGAGAGGCGTGCCGCGAGATCCCTATATACATACTTGAAGCCTCTAACCCATAACCCATGACCCAGAACCTTGTCTCCGTGTCCCCCTCCTCCTCCTCCCCGGCCTCCTCCATCCCCATACGCATACCACAAGCCTCTACCCCGCGACCCATAACCGAGAGCCTCATCTCAGTGCTCCCTCCCCTCCTCTTCCTCCTACCCCACCTCCTCGTCGTCCCCCTCCTCCTCTTCCTGCCCCGCTTCACCTCACCCTCTTCGATGCTTCTCCCCCCCATTTTCCGCCTCACCCCCCATCCTTCTCTCCCCGTCCTCCTTTTTCTCCCCAGCGCGCGCGCCCGATTGGCCATCATTTGCATGTCTTGCACTCCAGGGTGCCCTTCGTTGCGTCGCGCGGGACATTGTGCGGATCGGGGAACGCCGACTTCGGTAGTCTTCTCTTGCATGCGCCGCTGCACTGATACGCCTGGCAACTGCGCGCGGTGAACCCGAGTTTTGTGCAGCTTCCGCACACGACTTTGAGTTGTGTCGCCTTTCGATGATGTTCCTTTTGCGTCTGCTTCAAATGTTTCGTGTCTGAGAACGCTCCTCCGCACGCCGCGCACGTCAGCGGCTTCGCGTCCGCCTCGGCTTTCCGTTTCCTATTATTAGACTCGAGCGTCGTCCTCTGGCGTTCTTCCTCGCACCTCTGACACAGCCTCTCCCCGCTGCTTTGTGCTTCTTCTGTGCATCGGACATATCCGCCTCCTCTTGGAAAAGCGACAGACATTTCTCGTTCGAGCAACGCACCTTGCGTTTCCTGTTATTCGACTCGCGCGTCGTCCTCTCCCGTTCTTCCGCGCACCTCCGACGCAGCCTCTCCCCTGCTGCTTTGTGCTTCTTCTGAGCTACCAACATTTCCGCCTCCTCTGGCAATAGCGACGGACAGCCGTCATTCGAACGGCGCACTTTGCCCGCGCTCTCGGCCCACTTGGCGTTGGCACGGCGCGACTTCTGCTGCCCCCTCACATCGCTGCATTTGACACAGTACATAGTCCGAACTTTTTTGGCGTCGTTCCCATCGCGAACCCTCGCCACGCCCTCATCGTCGCCCCTCCGTGCGCTTTCGTCGCCGTGAGTCTTCGTTGCCCACGTGTCACACGTTTTGCACCATTTCTCGTCCAGGCTCTTCATCTCTTCCGCACACTCTTTACAGAAGGCCGGTCTCTCCTTCCGCTGGAACTCGTACATCGTGAACGCCTCCATTAGCAGCCGACGTCGGCAACGCCCACGCTGACCGCGCGGCATCAGCTTCGCCTCCCACTCCTCCCAATCCACAGTGTCGCCGCGTAGCACCTGCAACAACTTCTGCGCGCCGGGCATCTCCCCCTCGTTGTGCGGCTTCCTGTCGAAAGGCCTGAAGATAAGTAAGTTTTCCCGTCTCCTCACCCGGGTAATCGCCACGTAACTGGACATCCAACTTACGCCGCGCCCTCTTTCCAGATCCGCTATCACTGCGCCCAACGCCCGCCCTTGCGCGGCGTGCGCTGTGATTGCTAATGCCGGCGCAATCACGAACTGCGTGCGCTTCACCCCCAACACCGGGTGCTTCCGATACCCGCCCAAGAACCACTGGCGCCCCTTCGGTGGAAAAATTGGATACAGTCCTGGCCCCCACCCGGGCAAGTGCCATTTCTTCGTGTGGAAGTCCAACACTATGACTCTTGGCAAGTGCGACAACACTTCTTCTTCTTCGTCTCCCACGACTTCGTCCTCGTGCAAGACCCACGCATGAATCGTCGCGTGGCTTCCCCGCAGCAGCTGCTTCTTCGACCTGTCCAAGTGATCTCCTAAGGCCACGGGCATCCCCTTCGCCAGCGGCAGCCACCCCAGCAAGCTCGCGCGCTTCTTTTCGTGATAACCTAGCCACCGTATCTCGTCCTCCACGGTGCACGGGCGTCTCTGCCCCCCCCCCATGGCACGGGCGATCTCTCGCCGCGACCCATCGCAGTTGCTCTCCGTGTTCCTTCGCCCACTGCACAGCTCTTTGTTTCCCGACGTGGCACCGAATGTCCTGATTGGCATTAATCGCCACGGCTTCCACGAATTTCTCCTCCCGAAATCGCGGGTCTACCGGCGACGTCGCCGCGAGTTTCCTCTTCCCTCGCTCCACTTTGCACGCCGCGCATTCCAGTTCATTGTCTCTGCCAATTTCCTCTGCTTTAACTCGACGCTGCGAGTTTCCACATTGCAGTGCGCCGTTCGCCCGCGACACTGGCACGTCCGTCGGCCGTCCGTGCAAGAAATTGCGCGTTGTCTCCGTCAATTCGCCTCGACGAAACCCGTCTTGCTCCCCGAGGAACCAGGTGTCTGGCTCCTCCACACGCTTGCACTCCGTCAGTTTTGTCATTCCTTGCGCTGCCCCTGCGCCCCCCCTTCCCCAGAACATATGCTGACCGTGGTCCTCCGTGGCACCCGGCGCGTGCTTCCTTGCTTTTTTCCAGATACGATGTGGGCAGCGCATTGATGGCCGTTCCCGAGGGAGGCTCTAACTGATAAAAGTCAACGCAGAACAACACGTTGATGCCCCCGAACGGCCTGTCCACACCGTCTGTCCCTACTTTCGTGTCACTCGCAGCTGACATGCACGTCCGCAGATGCGAATCGAGTTCCGCGATGAAGTTTGCGCTCGCCATGCTCACCTCGTCCACAATCAGCCACTTCCACTGTGACATGCGCTGCGCCGCTTGCTCTGTCTTCGATTTCTTCTTCGTCTCTGCGTTGGCATTGCCCGCCGCGTCCTTCTCTTTCGTTTTGTTCACACCGAGCCCCAATGCACTGTGAATCGTATTCCCGTCGAGAGCTCGCGCGTTTGTAGCCTGCAACGCCACGCTGCCACCTGAAAATCCATGCCGCGCGTCCACCCCAACTCTTTTTCGAACAGCTCCTTCCGGATCTTGTCTATGGCGAAACTCTTCCGGGTCCCCGGGCCGCCATGCAACGTCCACGCGAGGGGCTGCATATCAGAACCGCTCTGCCCTGTTTTCTTGCCGCTCGCGGACCTCCCGAATTCTTGCGCCAACGCGCGATCTGCCACCTTCTCAACGACGCAACGCTGTCCCGCGTTCAACCCGTTCTCCGCAAGCCCTTGCCTCCATCTCCGCACACTTGACGCTGTTGCTTTCTTGGCCGCCGCCACCTCTGGGGCACCTTCCTCTCCACCCGCGCCGCTGCCTTCTGCGGCCTTCGACGCCGCGGCCACCGCTTGCACTTTCTTCACTTCCGCGTCATCCCACCTCAACGCACCGCCCCCATCTGCTTTTCTTGCGCTTTCCGTTCATCCGACCAGTGCTCACGCCCCACGCGGCGTCGCCCCTGGCCATGGCCTCCCGGCTCTTCTCCTTTTCGCACTCCGCATCTACACTTCTCCGCCTGTCCTCTTTCTCCATGGACGCGCCTCCCACATGTGTCTTCCGCCTTGTCGCCGCGTCGACAATTCTCGGATCCAGTTCTTCATCGCTGTGCAGCTCGTCCTCGTGTTTCACTAGATCTGCGTCCGTGACTGGTCGCAAATCCACCGCGCCCATGTAGTTCTGCACGTACCTCTTTGTTTCTTCACATGGCATGCCTTTCTTTAACCACTCCAATGACGCCTCCGCCCACGACCCCTGCGCTCCGCGGAAGTCCTGCAGGTGCGGCACTCCACATTCGACGTCGTCACGCAGTGTGAACGCCCGAAAATATACCATCAACAAGAGCCCGTTCCTATCCTCCTGCCCCGCTCCGTGCTTCGGCTGCGGCGCTCCATGAAAAGTCGGGTTCCTCGGGCGCTCGTTCCGCACCAACACCCACGTGTGCCTCAGAGTTTCCAACTCCGGAACATCCGGGAACGGTGCCCACGAATAACTCTCCCATCCCTCCTTGATCACATAATCCACCCCAGCTTTCAAGTGGGGTCCAGCCTCGGCAACTCCCAAAGGGCCCCCACGACAACTCACCAGAACCCCGAGCCGCCAAATGATCGTTCGAAGACGCCAAAGATGGCATCCACGCGGCCCAAGATGCCTCCAAGAGTGCTCCGGGACGGCCCCACCGCATAATCCAAACGGCAATGTAAAGCCGCGGGCCCCCACAGAAACAGCATGAAGCCCCCGGAAGCTCTCCAACAATGCTGCCGGGACGCCCCCGCGAAAAGAACCAGGAGCCCCCCAAGAAAAAAAAAAAAAAAGCTGAGCACCAAATATATTCTTGGCCACTGGCGACGCTCCACCTCGAACGTCCGCTGCTGGGTCGCCGCCGCAGCGCCTCGACCACCTAACTATACCGTGACCCGCGGGACCACACATGTGCTCAAAACGGACCCCCACACACCCAACCCCCCTTAAAGGGGTCGGCGGATGTGGCGTAAGCCTAGAGAATCATGGCTTTCTCATACGTTTTTCAATGATTTTTGGCGTTTTCGCCTCTTCCGCTTCCCCGCGCGCCAAGACGGCCCAAGAGGCTCCTAAGATCGCCCCGACACGGCCCAAGAGGCCTCCGAGAGGGTCTCCAAACGGTCCAAGAATGCCCCAAGACGGCCCAAGACGCCTCCCAGATTCACAAAAGGCCCGCAAAACGGTTCCAAGAGAGCGCCCAAACGGGGGACCCGAACGGACATTTCGAGCCCTCAGCCCCGAGAAGCTCCCAAGAGGCCCTCCAGGAAGCCCACAGAGGCGCCAAGAGGCTCCCGAGAGGCCCCAAAAACTCTCCTAGGAAGCTACAAAACAAACTCGGAAGTTACAAAACAACCGGGTATTCCCTCCTCTTCGACCTTGTCCTCCTCCTCCGCCTGTTCCTCCTCCTCCCCATCACAGAACGGAGGAGGGACACTTTCCCGAGCGCGGCAAGCGCGCTTTCAACGCCTCCGACGTCCGACAGCGCCTCGCAGCCACCGTCCGATCCGCGAGGGCTGGCGCGCCCAGACGACAGGGTCGTCTCCAGGGTCGGCGGCATCGGCCGTAAGGCCTTCGCAATATTAGAAGGAGGAGGAGGAGGAGGAGGAGGAGGAGGAGGAGGAGGAGGAGGAGGAGGAGGAGGAGGGAAAGAGGCAGGGAGGCAGGGAAGGAGGCGGAGGAGGAGGAAGAGGAGGAGGTAGGAGGAGGAGGAGGAGGAGGAAGAGGAAGGGGAGGAAGAGGAGGAGGAGGAGGAGGAGGAGGGGAATGAGGATAATGATGATGAGGATGATGAGGATGATGAGGATGAGGATGAGGATGGCGACGATGATGAAGATGATGATGAAGAGGATGATGGTGATGATGATGATGATGATGCTGATGCTGATGATGGTGATGGTGATGATGATGATGATGATGATGATGATGATGATGATGATGCTGATGCTGATGCTGATGCTGCTGCTGATGATGATGATGATGATGATGATGATGATGCTGATGCTGATGCTGATGCTGATGATGATGATGACTCTGATGATGATGACGAACAGAAGGAGGAGGAAGAGAAGGATGATGAGGAGGAGAAGGATGAGGAGGAGGAGGAAAGGAGGAGGGGAAGAAGGGGGAAGGCCGAGGAAAGAGGAGGAGGGTGAAGGAGGAGGAGGAGGAGGAGGGGGAGAAGGAGGAGGAGGAAGAAGGAGGAAGGAGGAGGAGGAGGAGGAGGCCTCGGCCTCCCCCCTGAACTTGACGCCGAACCTCTGCCCCTCGCCCCTGGCCAGCCTCACCGAGAACCGGGCGGGGTACCTCGGAGCAGGGCGAGCTGAGGCAACGGCAGCTCAAAATCGGTCCCGTCGTCGTCGTCGTCGTCGTCGCCGCCGCCGTCGTCGTCGTCGTCGTCGTCGTCGTCGTCGTCGTCGTCGTCGTCGTCGTCGTCGTCGTCGTGGTCGTCGGTGCCGTCGTGGTCGTCGTCGTCGTCGTCGTCGTCGTCGTCGTCGTCGTCGTCGTCGTCTTCGTCGTCGTCGTCGTTTCCAGGATCGGCGGCACCGGCCGTAAGGCCTCTCCAATCGATCGCGGATCCCTCCAGGGGTCCAAACGCACCTTTTTTTCCGAGCTGCGTCCAGCCGTGGCAACGAGGGCCCCCCCCCACCCTTGTCTCAATGCGCCCATGGCCAAGACCGAACGCGGAGACGTCGGTGTCGATCTTGGCCCTCGTCCATCTTGGTTGTCGTCAATTCGCGGGCCACCCTCGCAAGATGGGCGACGGCCCGCACGGACCACGACCAAGGCCAGCGTCGACAGGATCCCGTGACGCCTTGTCGGCTTCACGCCAGAGTGACCCCAGGCAAGAGTGGCCCCTTCGTGCGCGGCCTTCGGGATGGCGCGGGGGAGCCAAGCCCGACCACCACGCGCGCAGGCTGCTGCTGTCGCCTCGCATGCAGCGATCAGGGGGAGCCCCATTGGGCCCGCACCAGAGGCCACTCTGGCGAAACGCCACTCCTATCCAGACATGCGGCTGCTCCAATCTTTTCGAGGCACGGGCCCCCGACCTTTCGACCACTTCCCCAAGACCAATTTTCATCCCGAATTGTTGTTTTTTGACGGTCCCGAGGCCCGGTAAGGGCCCCGCGAGGCCGAAAACTGCGGAAAACCACGGTCTCGATTTTTTCGAGACGCTGGATGCCTGGGCACGTCTAGTCGATTCCTCCTCCGAGTACCGGCACACGCGCATGCGGACGCTCCCGGTCATCAGCTGCGCCTGTCGGGGATCTTCTGACCCGGGTCAGTCCAGACCCGGGTCAGTCAGGCCTTGCAGAATCCTGTGAGATCCTGCAAGATCCTGCACCCAAGCCCGGGTCAGTGCAAAGGATCCTGCAAGATCCTGCAGGATCCTGCACCCAAGCCCGGGTCAATGCGACCCTGGCCCCGCAGGATCCTGCACGGTCGGGCGCTCTGGCTGACCCCCGTTTGCACTGACCCCCCCCCTCCTCCTCCTCCTCCTCCTCCTCCTCCTCCTCCTCTTCCTCCTCCTCCTCCAATTCCTCCTCCTCCTCCTCCTCCTCCTCCTCCTCCTCCTCGTCCCCCTCCTCCCATTCCTCCGTCTCAAGGCTCCCGATGCTCTCTGCGCTAGGCAGCACCGGCCCTGGGCCCGCAACCGCCAGGCCCCCGCGCAGAGGGCTTGAGGCGCAGGCTCGCACGGCGCGGGGTCCTGCTCGGTTCTCCACGCCCAGATCGACGAACCCCAAGCGGCACACAGTGGGGGCGCGCATCAAGAAGCCATCTGTTTTTCGTCAGGGTACCCTGGGTAGGGGAACAAAAAGTGACGTAAACAGAAGAAGTCGGAAGTCGCACGGTTGGGCTCCACGCTCTTTCGCGGCGGCGTGGAGGCCCAAAGGGGGCGAAGCGCCCTCGCGCTCCGTCGCTGCATTGGCCCCCGTCTCAAGGCTCCCGAGCCTGCATCTCGATGGGGTCGCCGGCGATGCCGTTGACCTCCACGATGCGGTCGGCGGAGATCACCTCCGGGCGGGGCGAGTGACGCCCGCGTGAAGGGCCCCCTGCCAAGGAGGACGGGAGGAGGAGGAGGAGGAGGAGGAGGAGGAGGAGGAGGAGGAGGAGGAGGACGGAAGAGATTGAGGAAGAGGCGGACGAGGGGGAGGAGCAGGAGGAGGAGGAGGAGAAGGAGGAGAGGAGGAGGAGAAGCAGGAAGAGGCGGACGAGGGGGAGGAGCAGGAGGAGGAGGAGGAGAAGGAGGAGAAGGAGGAGGAGAAGCAGGAGGAGGAGGAGCAGCAGGAGGAGGAGGAGGAGCAGGAGGAGGAGGAGAAGGATGAGGAGGAGCAGCAGCAGGAGAAGGAGGAGGATGAGGAGGAGGAGAAGGAGGAAAGAGAGACGAAGGCGAGGAGGATGCAGCAGGAGAGGAATGAGGACGAGGAGGAAGAGGAAGGAGGAGGAGGAGGAGGACTGAGGAGCAGGAGCAGGAGGAGGAGGAGAGGGAGGACGGAGCTGGGGGGAGGGGGGTGGCACAGGGTGGCACGATCGAGTCATGGGTCTGCACGGGGGTGAGCCCAGGCCCCCCGCTTATACCTTTGCCCTGGGGCAGGAGCAGGTTGACCATGATCGAAAATCGGCGGCGAGCGAAGGGAGGACGTGAGAAGGAGAAGGCCTTCTCTGAAGGCGGCGGGGCTTCTCACAAGGGCCTCTGGCCTTCTGAGAGGTCTTCTGCGTCTCCAGGTGAGGCTTGGAAAACATCTCAGGAAGGCCGGGGGCTTCCGAGCCTTCTGAAGAGGCCCGCACCTTCCCACTTCCCCCCACCGGGCTCGCCGCTGAGAAGAACATGAAGCGGCATAAGAACAGGTTTTCGGAGGTCCGCCCAGACTTCTTGGACCAGCGCTGGGCTCCTGGCGCGGACCGGGGGGGCGCCAGGGGGTCCAACGCCGATGAGGGAAGTCGGCGCGGACTTCTGAAAATTGATGCTCATGCTTCTGGAGGAGGAGGAGGAGGAGCAGCAGCAGCAGGAGGAGGAGGAGAAGGAGGAGGAAGAGGAGGAGGAGGAGGAGGAAGAGGAGGAGGAGGAGGAGGAGCAGCAGCAGCAGCAGCAGCAGCAGGAGCAGGAGGAGGAGGAAGAGGAGGAGGAGGAAGAAGAGGAGGAGGAGAACACCTCCGCCTCCGGGTGGTCCTCGTTCCACGAGGACAGCAGCCCCCCGTGCGCAACCGTCTTCACCATCAGGAAGGCCGGCACGCCCGGCGTTGCCAGGGCGCCGCGGGCGCGGGAGAACTCGGAGGCGTCGGTGGTGTGGGAGAACCCGTACCTGAAGGACTGGCCGATCGGCAAACCAATGAATCGGGAAACGATCACTCCCCCCCGCGCCCATCGGGTTTGCCTGCATCGCTGATCGGCGAGGGTAGGGCTCGGAAGCTGCCGCCGGGGCAGCGCCCCACGGGAGGACGCCGGGGTTGCGGAGGCCCCCTCTGCCCCGGGTCGTCGCCTCGAGGATCGAGGCTCGAGGGTCGAGGGTCGAAGTGCGAGGATCGAGGATCGAGATCGTGGGCAACGGCATGTCGGGGACCTTGGGGTAGCGTGTCCAGGCGGCGGCCCCAGCGACATGCTGTGCCACGCAGGGGGATAGCGGCCAGCAGCGTGTCGCTCCGCTTCGCGGGGCGGGAGGAACCCCGAGGAGCGCGTGGTGGACAGCGTGGCGCACCGTGGCGCGGTTGGCCAGAACTGGCGGCGCGACTTTTTTTGGCCGCGGCCGCGAGCGAAGAGCACAGGCGGCGAAAGCAAAGTCCGGGGCGGCGAACATGGCTAATTAGCTACAAGACGCGCCGCAAGCCGGCCGGCCCAGCTGGCGGCGCGACGCGCTATCCCAAAATTCCCGACCGTATGGGGGACAGGCTCCGGGGGAAAAAGCATCGACCTGGAATCAGCGATACAGCAGGAGCTCGACCACACGGGACCCTCCACAAGGAACCCAACCCTGAGACCCCAGGACGTCCATTGACTTGTGGTGTGGGAGCGTCACGCTTTCCATAGCAAAACCATCGAAACCCAAGAAACCAATGCACTCTAGAGGCGAACAGGGTGTTTCTTGGCATGGGTTTCCACTGTACATCGCCGATGGATCGGCGATACAGTCAAAGCGTGTATGAAGGACGGGTGATAAGGACGCAAGACCCTTGGAGGCCGAAGTTGGGTTTTTTTAGGGCGGCGGGCGACCAGTGATAATGGCAAGGACGGGCCTCAGAGGCAAGGACACAAGGGTACCCTGGATGAGGGCGCGCGTCCTTACTGGGCGCGTTGACCGTGGGCCCCCGACGGCGAATCCGCACGCTCCTGGGCAGGGTTGGCGACCGGGCCCCCGAGGAGTGGGCGATTGGGGGGCCGATGCCTCTCCCCGTGGCCCTGCCCACCCACCCTGGCGCTACAGGCCTCGGAACAGATTAGCGAATACATGCCACATTCATCCGTCAACGCCTCCCCCTCCCCCCAATGTTCACAGTTGGCGGTGGGTCTGATGAGATGCACTTCGACCGCAATCTCCCCCGCGCGTGCCAACGTTGAGTTTGGGGGGGAGGGGGAGTGGTCAGTAATTGTTTCCCTCTACCGTTTCCCTGAGTCAGACGGGCAAATTCCGGCTTGTTCAAAAACTGTCGGCGGTCCGCGCGGATTTCTTGGATCTTAGCTGAACCTCCCTCCCTGGAGCGCGGAGCGCGCCAGGGGTGGCGCTGGAGGCGCCGCCAGGGCGCTCCAGCGCAGATCCAAGAAACCCGCGCGGAGCGCCAAAAAGTATCGAAACAATGCTACCCGACACGCGAGGGGAGTGTCGAGCGAGTATCGCCTCCCAGGGCCCGACGCGTGAAAACTCTCCAGCTCTGGCGCTTTCTCGGTGCTCGAACCTCTCTCTGGTGATCAGGGCCAAAGTAAACTGGCACATCTCAACCCTGGCGTTGCCCCTGAGCACCTCTCCCTCGGGTGGCTCTTGACCAGGGTCACGTGCCAGTAGATGCAGCCGTCCTCCGCGTGCTCCCTGGGCACCAGCCTGGTCTTGGATTGGGGAGTGAGTGTGGGGGTCTGGCGCAGGGTCCCTGAAATGGTGGCTCTATGGGCCATGCATGGGCGATACATCCTCGATTGCTGTGCTCGGCGGGGGAACCAACTGAAGCTCGCCGCCTGCGCCCCTGCGCGAGACTTGAGGGTAAACGAAGCAAGGCGGCGGGGGGGCTGGGGAGCGTTCCAGACGTGGGCCTCGCCTTCGGCACGCCTCGCCCGTGGAGGACGGACGCCCGCGGAGGGCCCGCGGAAGTCAAACGGCGGCGGCTCCGCCGTCGGTGGTTCGGCGAGACGCCAGCGGTCCTGGATCCACGGCTTCTGGGATCAACCACCCCTGCCTCCACCCTCTCCCCCGCCGACTCTCCCTCTCCGCCTCTCATCGTGCTCCTTTCCTTCCTCCTCCTCCTCCTCCCTCCTCCTCCCTCTCCACCTCCTCCTCCTCCTCCTCCTCCTCCTCCTCCCTCTGCACCTCCTCCTCCAGTGTCGAGGGCCCCACTTCCTGATTGCAGATTACACGGTTGTGATTTTGCGGGTCACGAACCTCGAGGGCACCCCGGTCGGCAGACAGAAACGAGTCTGCGCAATAGGAAAGGATGGGTGGGAGGGGTAGGACGTCGGATATGGCACGAGCGCGCCTAGCTCCTCCTCCTCCTATCCCTCCCCCTCCTCCTTTTCATCTTCCTCTTCCTCCTCCTCCTCCTCCTTGTCCTCCTCCTTTTCCTCCTCCTCCCTCCTCCCTCCTCCCTCCTCCCCCATCCTCCTCCTTCTTTCCTCCTTCTTTCCTCCTCCTCCTCCTCCTCCTCTCTTCTCCTCCTCCTCTTCTCCTCCTCCTCCTCCTCCTCCCTGAGCCCCAGCCTGGCCGCCTCTCTCCTGAAAGCAGCGGTGCCTCACCCTGCCCCTGTGCCTTGCCTCTCTGCTCTCGAGCACTGTGGGCTCCGGCCCATCGTTCCGCTGCGACACACGACCAGAGCCCCGCGCCTCCTGGTCCTCCTCCTCCTCCTCCTCCTCCTCCTCCTCCTCCTCCCCCTCCTCCTCCCCCTCCTCCTCCTATTCCCCTCCTCCTCCTCCTCCTCCTCTTCCTCCTCCTCTTCCTCCTCCTCTTCCTCCTCCTCCTCCTCCTCCTCCTCCTCCTCCTCCTCCTACCCCTCCTCCACCTCCTGCTCCTCTTCCTCCTCCTGGTAGGAGGGAGGAGGGGTAGGAGGAGGAGCGTTGGTGTTTGAGATGTATCCGGTCTCCTGGCCTCGTCGCCAGTCGATCCGGATATCAGTAGCGGGGCGGCTGCAGAAGCCATGGCGGCACGGGCATGGTCCACACGCGCGGGGCGCCACACGTCGGAGTGGAACGACATCCTCGCCAAGGGGGACGCTTGTTGCGTTGAGTGCAACAGGATGGTCAAGTTGCAGAAGCCGCGTATTGAGAAGAGATGTGGCAAGGAGGTGAGGACGCTTCAGCTTGGCCACGTGGCCAAGGACAGGGCGGAGGTCAAGACCATGCTCACGAATCTCATCGGGAACCCAGCCGACATGCCGATCAAGAGAGCGCTCCTCGACTAATTCGCTGGCGCAATTGGAGAAAGAAAGCCCAGCGGGCGGCAGGGAGGTCCCGGCGGCAGAAGTGGTCAGGAAGCTGGACGGTGCGCGGCGAGACATTGAACAGTCGCCACGATCAGGCTGCCGATCAAGCTGTGCGAGTGCGAGAGCAGCTTGCCATAGCGGAGCTCAGGGAGACGAACTCGGCAAGGGAGCTCGCGCCGGCAGGGGCGGGCAAGAGGCTGGCGGCCAAGGCGCAAGGCTCGCGAGGTCGGCGTGGCGGACGAGCTGCACGCGACAGGTGCGGCACCGACGGCGGACGCCAAAGAGTGGGACCTCGTCTACGACGAAGCCGTCTTCGCCGACCTCGACAAGCTCGACTGCGAGGAGGAGGAGGAGGAGGATGAGGAGAAGGAGGAAGATGAGGATGAGGAGGAGGAGGAGGAGGAGGAGGAGGGGGAGGAGGAGCGCCAGCAACTCAGGCAGCTGGTCGCAGAGCTCCAGGGAGCTAAGGAGTCCTCGTCGAACAAGCGCTCGCAGGTGGACTTCTCGCGGGTCGAGTCGGCGGAGCTGCAGAACACCAGCACGAAGAGGCTGGCCCAGAGGAGGCGCGCGGTGCCGGGAGCTGCTGCACCCAAGTGGTGGTCAAGCTGGCGCCGGCAGCACGGCCCAGGGCGCTGCCCAGGCGACCACCGCGGCGGGCAGTGGTGAGGGTGCTCGCGGCGCGGTTTCGGCGGCGGCAGGATGGGGCTCGGCGGCACCACCCCGCGGCGAGCCAATCGAGGCGAAGACACCGAGGGGGGGCTGCAGCCCGCCTGTCGCAGGCCAGGCTCCCCCACGCAGGAGGCCAGTCGGAGCGGGGAGCGGCCCCGCAGACCGCAGCGGGAGGTCTGCAGGCGGCCGAGCACAGCCGGCACGAGGCGGAGGCGGAGGAGGGCCCGCAGCGGCGCGATCGCCCCTCGGCAGGGCCAAACTCGACCGCGCACCCGTCCAGTCCATCATCTTCTGAGGGTCCAGTGCGGTTCGATCGCCCTCGAGCAGGGCTAGCTCCGACCGCCGATCAGCCCGTTCCTGTGTCTGTCGAAGGCCCAGTGGGGCACGACGGGCCGTCAGCAGGGCCAACGTCGACCTCACAACCAGAGGGCTGCTTGCCACCCCCAGTAGAATCGGAAGAGCACACTCACATTCAGGTCGGTAGGGTGACTTGTCTTGGGCCACTTGTTTGGGATTTCTCCACTTCAGAATCCATCGGATCACGCTTTAGTCATGGTGCTCTGGCCGAAACTCACGTGTCTGCTTCCAGGAAGGAACACTGGGTCAGGAAGGCCAGAGCGGCCAAGTCCAAACCTTGTTGTACTGATGCTCGTCCTGAAGACGGCGGCACTCATACCCGAGCCAGCGCAGGCGGGGACAATGCTGCTGGCCCAAGGGTACCGGCAGGCTCAACTGGCTGGTGATCCCCAAGATGTCCCTCCTCTGCATGCTTGTTCGGGAGACGCTTTTGACGGGCTTCTGCCGGTAACGCTTCACCCCAAAGGCTATTCAATAGCGCTCAGTACCTACTGCGGGATCGCATCGCTAGGTTGTACAAGGGGCACGCCCAACGTGTAGTCAGGTTAGGTACTTTCGTTTCGTCCCTCCAACTCCCATGGGTTGCCCTAGGGGAGTGTAACATGTCACCGCAAAATCTAGCTAAGTGTGGATTCATCGAGCGTGCGAACAGAAGAGTCTTCCAAACGGAGATTGCTCACAGATGCGTCATGGGCTCGGGACAATCTCACATAGCTTGCGCTCCAGCCAGCAGGGCAACTTGTCCGTATGCTGGCCCTTTCAAGGCAGTCATAGACGCACTGTGGGCACGCTTGCGGGCTGCACCTCGCGCTGCTTCGGAGTTCGGGGAAGCAGCTTGTGACTAGGTCCCTGCACGTTGCACAGAAGTTCCCTCAAGCTTCAAGACCCAGCATGACTCCCAAGCCGAAGAGTACATCCCAGAAGGCCAAGGTCACTCAGCAGATCGCACGGTCAGAGTTTGAGGAGCCGTTTCGAGCAGCTCGCACTATTTTGTGTGAGACGTTGTCTGGGGAGGAAGGTAGTATCTCGGCCAGCGACCCCAGTCCAGCCTCTCAGGTTCCACGAGGGAACTCGGACAACGATCCAGACACCTTTTACGGGACCCCCGAGGATTAGGACGAAGAGCCAGATCCTTTGGCCCACGACTCCGAGCTTCAGTGTAGGGTAGCTCAGAGTGTAGAACTAGACGGAAACAGCGAGCCCCCCAACCCAGCCAGCCACATACCCAGCGTGAGGGAGTTTTTTTTTACCGAATCTGTCGCCCAGTCTCCCTCCCTCCCTTCTCTTTCTATCTCTGGGGAAATCTGGGAGTCGCAGCGCGAATTAATCGGAGATCCACCGGCACCCACTGGCGAGGTCTGGCCAGTCACAACTGAACCTCTTGCATACGGTGTGGGGGGCAAGTATATCCAGGAGGTCAGCGGCATGTTCTCCACCTGGGTCCGCACCGCTGGGGCAACCATGTGTGCCCACCGCCAGACGGGTTCCACAGGTCGCAGTCGGATTCATGGGCCAGCCATGCCAGTCGAGGTCGTGCAGAAAGCTGAGCACCTTCGACCGTAACCTCTCCCGGCTGTCGTCGCAGCGTGGTGGCTCGGAACTCAGGTTACTGCCACTAGGCCTTTTAGGCATCGCCAGAGAGCGAATGGCGTCGAGCAGATAAAGCAGCTTGCTCAGATTGGTCGTGTTCTGGTTCAGGGTATTCCTCATGCGGCGCCTCTGGTGGTTTCTCAGGATCGGGGGAGGTTTTCGTGGGAGCAGTGGACTAGCTTTTTCGGGAACCCGTACAACCTGGACATCAGCACTCCCACCAGCCCTCTGGGCGTAGGTGGTCTAGAGAGCTTCCTCTTCCAATCCCTTTTGCTCCCCTTCGGGGCAGGGTTTATAACTTTTCCTTATTAATCTACACCCCCTCCCCCAGGCCACCAGGGGCCAACCAGGCACCATGCCGACACCATGCCGACTCGCCCCCCACCATCCCTGTCAAAAAACAATACAAACCGCACTCTGCCTCCACATTTGGAGCATGCGCGGCCAACCCGATGCGCCCCCCCCACCCCCACCCCACCCCACCATCACTGTCAAACAACAATGCAAAGTATATTTTGTGGCAGAGTCTTGAATTATGTTCGCGAGGCCCGCGGGGACTTTGCATGGTCTTTGACAAGAACGGCGGGGGTGTGAACAGATTCCCTGCTGTGTGCAGGGCTACCATTCCTGACACAACATCAATAATTGCAGCATGCACCTCGCGGCCAATTCTGGACCATGCGCATCCATCCTGCGATCACTGTCGAGTGGTTTGTGACAGGGACGGCGGGGGTGGTGGCGCGTGGCATGCTGTACGCAGGCCCACCAGACACAACGATGGGCATCGGTTTTCGACAAT